GCAAATCAGCGTTTGCAATTCAAGAGCAGATTGTGAACCACATACTGGTGGCTCACGCCTGTAATCCTAGCTACTCAGGAGGCAGAAAGCAGGAGAATCAAGGTTCGAAGCCAGGAATGGGCAAACAGTTGCAAGACTCTTATCTCAAAAAAACCATCACACACACACAAAAAGGGGGGGTGGGGTGGGCTGGCAGAGTGGCTCAAGCAGTAAGAGCGCCTGACTAGCAAGCCTGAGGTGTGAGTCCAAACTCCAGTGCAAAAAAAAAAGTCAGTTGTATGATGAGGGAGAATGATGGTGGGAATGAACCTAACCAAGATACATTGTACATAAATATGGATACGGGAATATCACAATGAAACCTCTTGTATATGCTAATAAAAATGTCTAAAAATAGAGTAGGTTGTACACAAGTTACTGAAGGGTAGTCAGTATTACACATTAACATCATTTATTCCATTAAAATTAACAGATGAATGAAAAACTGATTTTTCTAAATCTTCAAAAAACTCAGACAGAGAAGAAATTGAAGTGTTCTTAATTTGATAAAGGTTATCTGCCAGAAAAGTTCAACAGCCATCAAACTGACATCCCATGATAATCTGGAAAAAAGCAAGGCTGCCTTTGATTGCTACTAGCTAAAGAAATGAAGCAGTTACAACTAGAATGGAAAATGCACTAACAGATATGACTAATTATCTATAAAATCCCAGAGACCTAAATAATATAGCTCTTCCCCATCCACCACTCCAGTGTTTTATGTGTCAGAACACTCAGGGTTTTTTGACTGATTGAATTCGGCAAGGTTACTAAAGCTATAATGAATAAACAAAAATTAACTGCCTAAAAGCAGGGTCTAGGTACATGGTAGGTGGAGAAAGGGAACATTGTGGTTTAAGGCCAATCCAGGTAAAAAGTTTGCAAGAGTACATCTCAACCAGTAAAAGCTAGGCATGGTGGTGTGTGCTTGTAATCCCAGCTCTGTGGTAAGCATACCTAGGAAGATGTTGGTCCAAGTTAGTCCAGACATAAAATTAAGACCCTGGCTGGGCACTGGTGGCTCACACCTATAATCCTAGCTACTCAGGAGGCAGCAACCAGGAGGATGGAGGTTCAAAGCCAGTCAGGGCAAACAGTTCAAGAGATCCTATCTCAAAAAAAAAACCCAACACAAAAAAGGCTGGCAGATGGACTCAAGTGGTACAATGCCTGCCTATTAAGCACAGGCCCCAAGTTCAACTCCTAGTTCTGCAAAAAAAAAAAAACAAAAACAATAAAGTTAGCTGATTACTGAAGAAATTTGAAAACCTGTTTATATGAGTCATTTTTAAAAACCTAGGAATGAACTTTTAAAAGCATACAAAAAGCCAGGCACCGGTGACTCATGTCTGTAATCCTAGCTACTCAGGAGGCAGAGATCAGAAGGATCACAGTTCGAAGTCGGCCTGGGAAAATAGTTCTCAAGACCCTTCGAAGTCGGCCTGGGAAAATAGTTCTCGAGACCCTATCTTGAAAAAACCAATCACAAAAAAGGGCTGGCGGAGTAGCTCAAGGTGTAGGCCCTGAGTTCAAACCCCAGTACCCCTCCCCCAAAAAATGGCATACAATACCTAAGCAAACACTCATTTTACTAGAAATCAAACATTCTAGATAAATGGAGACATACTGTGTTCTGGAGAGAATGACATTTTTAAAACAATCTACTCTCTATATTTACAACATGGCAAATCAATCCAACACTGAGAGGACTTTTCTGGTACTTGATAAGGTGATCCTCGATTTACTAAAGAATGTACAGAAAAAAATTCAACTGTTGAATTTTAACATATTATAAGCCACATAAAATTATGTGGTTCAGTAAGAGAAAAATTCTGGAAGACTCCTGATGCCAAAGAACACTGAGGGCATGGGATGGAAGCAAGTTAGCAGATGGAGAAGTTTCAGAAGCTCACCTACCCTGTTCCACATTTGTTTTCTAAGGGAATAGGTAAGAGTGTATTTGGATAAATTTAGTAGAGGACTAGAAAGATCAAAGAATGTATTATTCCTGAACTAAAACTATTTTCTCATTATTTTTAAACACTTGCCTTACTTTAAAACAATGAACAAACTTTTATCTGCCACACAAAATAAGCCCCTCTCTGGCATTCATAGTATCTTCTGCAGTGTCAAGATGGCTCCTTCATTTCCCAGAACAGAATACTGCCCTGGCCTCTAACTTCGCACAGAGTGTGATTCAAGCTGGCTTTCCCATTTTGTAAGGACTGGAAAGCTCAGGGAGTCTGTTCTAACCCATGACCTCTCCCCCTCATCCCCAACACATCTTCATATGGCAGTCTTTTAATCACATGCACGCCTGCATTTTGAACATTAAGTCTATTTCTCAAGTGTAGCTCACCAAGAGGTTATTTTTGAATGAATTTCCAATCATGAATGCCAAAATAATTCAGTATTTCTAAAATGAATACCTTCTTTTCCACACAAAAGTACATGATCCAAATCTTACAAAGGAGTAAATTGGGTGAATAAGATATATTGTAAACACTTTTGTAAATGTCACAATGTACCCCCAGTAATACAAAAAATACAATAAAAAAAATGGAGTAAACCAATTGTATCCAAATCTAAATTAACAGGATTCCATTATCGACTTAGTATAACAAACCACTGAAAGACAAAATATAGTCACAGTTGTAAAGAGAAAGAGCAAATGCAGAAAGGGCAAGCCAAGATATGCTGCACCACAGGTCGTACAAGTTGAACTGGCACCTTCTTTACAAACAATCCACTAAGTGTAGGACTGAGATAGGCTGAAATAACAGCCACAAGTCCCACAATCTTCTAATTCAGCATGGATAAAATTGGTGAGGGTGACCCACCAAATATGACTCCAAACCACCAGGGCAGAGAGAGAATTCCAGGTGTAAACATGCAAACACACATAAACACGTGAGCATACACACACTCTACACAGCAGGGCCAAGCACACCACACAAAAGTGCACGTTCATTGTGAAACAGTAAGTTAGAAAAACAGGATTGTTGCCACCACCATTTATTTATGTAGTCATAAACGAGGACAGAATACTATAGAAGTGTTAGAAACGCAAATGATGCCTGCCCTTATGGGGCGTACAATCTTATCTGGAAAATACGAGTACATAAAAGCAGGGACTACCAGAAAGCTATGCTAATATGTCAGAAGGCAGCGTAGTTTAAGAATGCAGGATTACCAGTCATGGAACCCAGCTTCTCTGTGTTTATGACCCCAGCTGCAAAGCAGTAGTGAGATTTAGAGGCTGTCTGCATTTGTTTCCATCATGCTTCATTCAAATCAAAAGCCAAGGCAAATTTCACAGGAGGCATGGTACCTATGCGCGACACTGATGGCAGGCAGAGAAGGCATTCCAGACAAGGAAAGCGGCACTGAGGTAGACGTAAGCATGGGCTTTGGAGGGAAGAAGAAAGACAAGTGTCACATGAACAATGGGGTGAGGCAAGTGGGGGCAGAGCCAGCTGCAACAGTGCTCAGATGCCACCCACAGAAGTGAGCGAGCTTTAAGGCTCACATGCATAACCAGGAGTGACAGTAAACAATTTTAGAAAATACCAGAGAACAGTGGTGGCATTTTATCACATTCCACTCTTTCTAGAAGACAGAAAATACTTAAACATTATATCTTGACATTTCAAAATTGACATCAATAAGCCACCCTAATTTTCCAAATGAAGACCAACTCAAAATTTACATTCATAGTAAATATCTCTTAATTCAAAAGGACATCTGATACAAATTATATTAGCCCAATAATTCTAACATTTATTTTCTACTATGCTCCTCACAAAGTGGAAGTAAAAAATGACTAAGATGAGGTCCCTGCCCTGGAAGAGCTTGCAGCCTGGTAGGTTAAACATCAACTGTGCCTATCTAGAAAGTCGTCAGAGGCTCAGCATGATAGACATGAGTACAGAGAAGGGATCCTCTGTTTTGAAGAAGTTCTGGCAAGGGTACAGAGAGTGGCAGTCAGCTCAAAAGAATCAGGTGTGCCAGGACAAGGTGACTGGGGAGAGGGCAATGGACACATGGGCACAGATGGGGTAGTATGGGAAGAGGTATAGCATGGCTAGAACAGAGATGCAAGCTAGTGAAGCCTGGACATTTTAATCATCTACTAACACTGGTTTCTAAGTCAGAAAGTGAGAGGCCAGGTTCTGTCTGTATTGTAAACAGTTACTGTAAGCTCTTCTCAGGAAATTAAAGGGCTCAGAAGCCCACACCCTCCACCCTCATTTTTTTCTGCCTCCCTCCCCCTTTTCCATTATGGGTCTGCTTCCCCTCTGCCCTTAAGACTTTATGGTGATTGTAGTTCCCACGCATAAAGCATTTGATACATTACTATCTCTGTCTATTTTCTATGACAGAGACGCTTGGTCTCAAAACATTTTTCTTGAAAAAAAAAGAAAAGAAAAAAAAAAAAAGACTTCATGGTGGAGATGAAGTGGAAAGGCACAGGGAGGAACACCAGACAGAGCTAGAAATGCAAACACATAGCTGATCAAGTTACCATACAGGAAAGGTCACTGCAGTGTACAAAGGCTCACATGAAGAAAATTTCAGTTTTTTAAAAGTACCTAATTCACATCAACATGTTAAAAACCTCATTTAATGTGGGAAAAGTACACTGACTCCATGTCATAAACTACTGTCCACTAAGTATCAGTGCAACAAATATAATGCCTTAGGATTTCAAATCTTATCTTTACACAATTAAGATCTGACCAAAATTGTATTGCTCAGTTTAAAAAAATAAATGATACAATGTGTAATTTCAGCTACCACAAAATATGTCAATACATGAATAAGCTGCCTTGTGAAGAATCCACAACAGACAGTAAAATACAAATGAGCCATTACTTAGGGTCAACACTACATTTCAATTTCTCAGAGTAACATTGTAAAACCACTCTACAAAAGTGACACCTTCTTGAAATTCCAACTTATAATGAAGAAAATAAATCTGTCATTTTATTTAATACTCATTAAGTTACAGTTATGTCAATACAATCTGCTTCTAACAAAAGAAAACCTTAGTCCTAAAAACATGCATATACATATAGTAAGACCTTCTACATTCCTAAATGAATTACATGCATGATATATATTAACCAATAAAGAATACCAATATGAGAATTCAGGACATTTATTTTTCTGCATGGACATTTAACTACTGTACAACACATATACACAAAACAAACCCACGGAGCAATGGTGTGTAATAGGTGGGGAAGAGACACTAAATAAGCATATTTAAAATGCCTACAAATAGGTCTTTTTTTTTAGGCAACAAAATATTTTCAGTCCTTGACATCTTCTCACAATCGCCTAGCACCACAGATGCAAGGATTTAACAGTAAACATGTACAAGCTCATGCTTAAAACCTAAAGCATGCACTGAATCAATTTATATATTGTGATCTACTCTCCTAGGTATGCAATACAGACTTCTTACTAATATTTATACATTAAATTACCCTGCAGCATTTTGGAATTTTAACATTTATACAAAACAACTTTTGAAAGGCTTATCAAACAAGCTTAAGGTTCACCTCCAGGCTGGTTTGATTAATGGCAGCAGCCTCAAGGCTCACACTGAATGAACATGGTGTGTGTGCATGTCAGCCCACGTGGAACACCTATGCACATAGATGGCACGAAGTTCTGTGCAGTTGGAATCACCAGTGCAAATGCATGCATTTGAGGTACTTATATTGTCCATGGTCAGGTATAATTATGCATAGTCATTTTCCTCAAGTGCTAAGATTTCAGACCTGATCAAATGAAAAGCTATAAGAAGTATAAATGAAATATTTATATAGTTTAATTTCAAAGTGCTATGCCTTTAATAAAGATTTGTTTGACATTATAGGCTTACATATTTAGTTTAAAATATTTACCAACCAATAAATGTTCTCATTGTACAGAGACTAATTGGTAATTATACCTGGCCAAGTGATTTAAATAGCATACTTGAAATTCTTGCCAGAACTTTAGTGAAAGAATAAAATACTTCATTATTGCTTCATTGGACTGAGAAACCCAAAAAGCATAAACAATGCTCAATGATGAAAAAAAAACTGAATACCCAAAATAGTGGTGCACGCCCTCAAATGGCCCCTGTTCAATAAACACTAAGCATTCTCCACATTGTCAATGCCATTGGCATCCACATGGATATCAGGCTCCCCACACAAAGATGAGGGAACAAAGCGGCTAACAGTGGGACACAAACAGCTCTTAAGCTCTGGCAATTCTTGCTTCAGGCGTTCCAATTGCTCCACTTGGAATATATTTGGCTGTTCAGGCATCCAATCGTATATCCTATGGTGAAACAAACAGAAAATACATAAAATAGTGTGATTTTATGGCTTACTTTAGACTGTTTAACCTTTTCAAGAGAATTCATTTACAAAATGCCTGGAACATCCATATTACACAGCTTTGGTTTTGTTCAGAAGATGAAAACATCAGTTCTATTTAAAACTTCTTTTATGGCTGGCGGAGTGGCTTAAGTGGTAGAATGCATGCCTAGCAAGTGTGAGGCCCTGAGATCAAACCCCAGTACTGCAGAGGAAAAAAAAAAAAGTAGTAAAATTTCTTCTTCTAATCTACTATTCCAGAACAACAGCACTGCTCTTTTGTATTCATAACTATAAAGCAATGGAACCAGAAAATGAAACTTGCTGTTTACTAATTATTCTGAAACTATCTGCCCTCCCAGTCAATCAATAGGCAATGCCTTATTTTATAGTCATGGAAACCAGAAGAGCTTTTAAGTCACTGAAGATCAAGATCCAGAGTGGAGAGGCCAGAAGGAGCCTTCAGTGACCACGGCAGCATTGCCACTGCCCATCAGCAGAGAGTGAGGCCAGCCTCGCATGCCACAGTGCAAAAACCACACAACTATGTGGGGCACAAGAGATCTTTATGATAACATAGGAAGGGCAAAAAAGTACACTGACCCTATCAAACATTTCACTATATCAAAAAAAAACTTTCTGTTAAACATATGTGCAGGGCTGGAGATGTGGAGAGTACGTGCCTAGCATGTATGGAGCACGTGTAAGAGAGAAAATGGCCTCTGGACTTGAGGTATCAAACATACAGAAACACTGAACCTCATTCTCTCCCTATATCCCATTAAAAAGAAAATAAAGGGATTTTAAAAAATTATGAATATGCAAAAAACCCAAAACAAAGCAATGAGACTATGGAAGCTGGAAAAGTAATAACAAAGATTTTCAATTAGAACAGAAAAGTCCAAATCACAAGCCACTAGTAGGAAACACAAATAGGCTCAGCTAAAAAGCAGCACCAAATTCCTCTTGAACTGGGAGTGAACAAGGAGAGGGTGATTAAAAAAGGCAAGATGAGGTGCAGGCTGTCATAGCAGCAAGCATCTCCCTGTCTGTTCCCAGGAAGCTGGGTTGCCCCCCCCCACACTGGACTTGAAGGATTAAACAGGATGTCTCTTAGAATGAAAGATAACAGGACCAGGTGAGGGTCTGGGCATTTTATAAAACCACCACCAGTGCCACCAACACCAAAGAATTTAGAGACAGTGAATACACACCATATGCAAAGTACAGACATCATCCCTACCCCAAATCTTCCTCACTTGACTCTGGCTGTCAGCACCCTAAGGCTATAATAGATTCTCCTGGCGAGTCTGATAAACACCCCTATGCCCAAAAGTTCTAAATCTTCTGGTATCAAAGGTATGGACCAAATAGGCCACCTAGATCATGCCATGATGAAGCCTGAGTCAACAACTTCATTCATACACTCAGAACTTTCAACAAGCTTTGTAGATCCAACCTCATCCTGGGAGAGAGAAAGTAGCAGAGATGCTTTTTAACATGGAAGATAACAAAGAAAACAGAAAAGACCTCCAGGAAGACAAAAGAAACAAAATATAAACAACTTTAATGACTGGAAAAAAATAGCTCATCAAAAGAGAATAGGGTATTATAGATAGATAAAAAAGTACTTTCAGAAAAGAAGTCCATGAAAATTAAAAATCACAATAGTGAAAAACTCAACAGTAACAGATGGAAGCTAAGGTTGAGGAACAAAATGAAAACAGGGTAAAAGGATTAAAAGCTGGATGAGAGTTATATGATGCAAACAAAAGGATTTTTATGAAGAAAATCAAAGCCAGATAAATGGAAGGTATAAGAATCACAGTAGTAATAACTCACATGTTTCCCATTGTTTTTTCATTTTGTGGTGATGGGGATCAAACCAACACACATTGGGCAACCACCCAGCCCAAGTTCCCAATGTTTAAGGGTATGTATTAACAGACTAAAAAGGGCTGCAAAGTTTCTAGCACAATGGGTGAAAACAGAATCACAAGGAGACCCATCACTGGAATTTCAGAACACTGGAGACAAAGAGAAGATTTTCTCTGCTTCTAGAATACATCTCAGGGAACAGGAACCAATGTGGCTCCAGTTCTCAAGGCCAACACTGGAGGTAGAAAGCTGATGGATAAATGCTTATAAAATTCTAATGGATAATGATTTCTAACACAGAGTCCATGCCTAGCTACCACATTTCCAGACATGGAAAACCAAAAAACACTTGCTTCCCATGTCTTCCTTTCTCAAGAAGATGTAAAAGATGTGTTTTATATAAATGATACTGAACCAAAAGAGAAAAAAGATCAAACTACAGGAAATAGGAGATGGAACACAGGGAACGCCAGCAAGTATCTGTCTCTTAGGACAGCACTTGTGCCCACAGAGGTCAAGCAATCTGTACTAGAGCCATCCAGTGAAAGGGAAGGCTGCTGCCACTTCAGCAGCCTTGTAACCTAAGGAGAGTGTGCCCCACTGAGTCTGGAAAAGGGTTTTCAAAAAACTGTGGTGTGTCTAATTCAAGAGTGATCAGTTTCCTCGATACCTGACAGGTATAATGCTTGGCCCTATCCCTGAGAACTGGTGGTAGGTTACAATGAACAAGGAAAATAAGAATCAGCCCACTCCAGATGACCCAACATAGTTCTACTGTACTTCCAATGCCTGAGCTAGAGACTTGGTAAGCCACAAAATCTGTTTAGAAAGTTTGCATTTAACAAGTACATATGCATGAATAAAAAACTTACAAGGAACATTCTTTTAAATTCTGTTTAGGTACACACTTGTGTGTGTGTACTGGGTTATAATGTAAAATGAATTGGGGGAGGTCAAAAAGTTTTGAAAGTCATTGCCCTGGCATATCTTACATTTATATTCCAGGAGACCAGGTCAACAACATTCAAGATAATACTATACATAATGCAAAAACATGGCAACAGTCTAAATATTCTTAAAGAACCAAATAACAATGAAATACTATATGGCGAAAGAAAGTAATTTGTAGCTATATGCAAACATACAGATTTTAAGAATGTAATGACAAACAAAAGTATAAAGTTTAAAATTTTGAAAAGCAAAATGGCATATTGTTTAGGGATAGAAATAAGATTAATTTTTTTGGCAGTATTGGAGTTTGAACTCAGGGCCTCATGCTTGCTAGGCAGGTACTCTACCACTGGAGCCACTCCACCAGTCCAAGATTAAATTTTTTAAAGAAAATAATTTATTAAGTGGTTTGTGAGGGAGGAGATGAAGGAACAGGATTATGTAGAGGCATACAGCGACTTCAAAGCTTTTGATGGTGCTTACTTTAAACACAAATGGCTATTATATGGTTACTGTAGTCCTTTTTTTTTTTCTTGGTGTGTGTGTAAGGGGTGGAGGGGTGTGCTTACTGGGATTGAACCTAGGGCCATCTACATGTAAGGCAAATGCTCTGCCACTGAGCTATACTCCCCAATCCCCAGAAGCAGTATTTTATTAAAAAGAAACGGGGGTGGGGAATCAGTTTACCCTGAGGCCAGTACTATCCTTGATAACAAAACTAGACGAATACTTGACAAAGATAAATTAAAAGGCCATCCCAAGCAAAATGTTAAAAAATCAAATGCGGCAGTTTACATGAGATAATGTGACAAACCATGAGTAAATGTAAAATGTATTTAATGCCTTTGCAGAGGAACAGAAAATAATTGTTAATCTAAAACACCCACTCTCACTAAACCTTCCCTAAATGGTTCAAATGTTCCATATCGCTAATCATTCAAAATCTTCTATGTAATATATAAATTTGACAATTAAAAACAATCATAAAGCATATTATTTAGAATCACAGAAGTAAATACAAGAAAACAGCTGAAAACAAAATTAGGAGACAAGGACACAGCCAGGAACAATAGAAAGGACTGCTGATTTTTGTTGTAAGCCTTAGAGAACTATTTGAATTTTTAAATTATATATATACAGCACATTACATATAAAGAGGAGGAAAAAAACCTTCATAGGTAAAAATGTACTCTAACATAATCAAACTTGCCTCCCATTAAACCCTAGAAGAAGCCCACTGCTAGGCTATTTCTCCTTAAAACCGTCCACTCCTTCAGCACAGTCCTGCCCTGATTTGCGTTCTTGCCTTTTGTCTAATAAAATCCAAATTCTGTCAAAGCAAATTTAACCATCCTTAAAAGTCCTTCTCAGTTTTTCCTCTTTAAAGATACTAAGCCAGGAAGAACTTTCTGTAGCACTTGTTATGTATCATACAATATTTTCATATCCTCTATTACATATGTTGACATTTGGCTCCCCTAATCAAGGCCCTTGAGACAAAGGATCTGCCTTACCAAGGCCCATGGTGTACTCTCGTAGCACATTTTTCTTGTCTGAAAACGTCTGCAAATATTCCTTTCTGCAGATATGCACACACATACACACTCATGAAATGTTCAAAGATTTCCTAAAGTCAGTACTTCCATCAAATTCATTTAAATTTTAAAATCTTAGTTTAAAATGTCTATTTAAAAGACCTGAAGATGTTTTGTGCAAAATTAACCAAATACTTTAAAAGGCAGGCAGCATCTGGACTACCTGCAATTTAAAAAGCAGACTAATTTAGATAAAATAGTGGGGAAAGGCTTTATTAGTGATAAAGCTTTGTAGGACAGAGACTAATCTGAACCAAATCCAAGGACAGTATCTTGGAAAGAGGTCTGGTGAGATTTTATCATCTCCTCTCTGCACAGTACTTACTGCACGTCTGTAATTCACCAGCAAGTGAATGGCATCCCTTCTAATTCCAAATTTTATATTAAACCTTTTTGTATCTCAGATTAGTGGCTGTGAAATCCTACATTAGAAATACCCAGGGAGCTGAATGTTTAAAAAAAAAATCTATGTAACAAACCTTTGAGTTCCTACTGTGGCACACACTGCCCTAACCTCTGGAAACAGTGAACAAAGTAGGCAAGAAATCTTGCCCTCATGTAGCTTATGTTCTTGTTTGTGTGTGCACTGGGGGAGGGAAGGGGCTAGAGCTGAGGAGATGGGAGAGGAGGCCAGGGAGAAAGACAGATAAGCAACCTATTTATGCACAGGTCATGTATCAGACAGTGTGGAGTGAAGTCAGGAAGTGCACTATGAACAGATGTTATTTCAAATGAGTTACCTAAGAGAGGCCTCACTGAGATGACATTTCAATATTCCCCTAAAGAAAGGGAAACAGCAGATGGGAAAGTTGTGGGACAAAAGGTCAGAGGGGGAAATAGGGTTGGGAGGCAGCCAGATCAACTCATACAGGGTTAAGGACTTTGGCTTCTCCTTTAGGAAACACACACACACAAAAAACATGGCAAAGTTTTTAGTAGCAACATGATGTGACATAGGTTTTAAAAGGCTCCCTGTGGCCGCATTTTGAGAACAGACAGTGTGGGGGCAGATGACAGGGCCAGGCCACATTAATAATGTGCACAGAAGATGAGGAAACACAGTGAGTGGACACAGGATATAGCATGAAGTCAGAGTGAAAAATTTTTCTGTCTGATTAGATCTGGGGTATGATGACATTTCAATATTCCCCTAAAGAAAGGGGAATATTGAGGCTTGAGAAACTAGGATGACTGGAGTTGCCACTTATGCTGAATTGAACATGACAAGAAGACAGGATACAAAAGTTTAGACATCAGGGAAATGGTCTAAGTTGGAGACATACAGCATTGGGACTATTTATAAAGATAATGAAGAGTCGCAGAATTGGATGAGACTGCTGAGAAAGTAGAAATGGAAAGAAAACATGTCTAGGGCACACAGCCCAGCCCTACCCCAAAATGACTTAGTACATCTGGGTTAGGACCCAGTCATCTGAATTGTTAACAGACTTCAGTGACTCTGATACACTTCAAAGTGAAAAAAATAAACTGACAGACAAATGTCAAGACAGACTTCAGGATGAACTACAGAATTTTAGCTTAACTAAGTTTAACTTTATTTTAATTTTATAAGATCAAAACTACACTTTTTCTAACATTCCATGGAAGTTTTTCATGAAAGACAAATACCTATCATAAATTAGACCATTAATGCCAAACTCCTTCAGTTTCCTTCTGTTTTCAGGATCATTAGTGTCATCGCCCCAGCAGAATATGACTAGCCCCTTAGCTTTTGCCTCTTGGATATAGGATGGGTTTCTGAGGAGGTCTTCAGTATGTGCATTTATCCCCTAAAAGAAGAAAAATTAGTTGCTTACAAAAAAGTAGTATTAACTGCAAATTCATACTATAGGTCACTGTTCTCTAGAGTAAAGCAGAAAATATTACAACTTTTTCTTATAATTTCCATTATTCTTTTTAATGTACAGACATATTCCCAATACATTACTAATATATTTATATTAGTGGACATCCTCATTTCCAGTCAGTTACTTGATGGTTACACATAAGTAAAAACATTAATCATCAGGTGTGTAGGGTAATATCAAACCTTACTACTGTTCTAAAACATAAAACATAAAACTGAAAACTAACGATTCAAACATAACTTACCAGAAGATTTTCAAACTGTGCAAAGCTCATCGCAATGGGAGTTGTCCGAGATCTGAGGTCCATGAGTTCAGGGTAAATATCAGATTTTCCTTGAGTCAAAAATAATATGGGGTATTTGTTCTGCTTTTGACGAACCCTTAAAAAGACAGATTAAATAATTCTTTTCATGGGGAGGTAACTGTTATATTCTGTTTTGAAATTTGAGAATACATTAAAAACATAAGCAAAACAAAAGATAAAAAACAAAGTAATTACTCAGATATAATCACCATTAACATGTGCAGTCTTTCAATCAAAACTTAAAAACAGAGTATTTTTCTATGCAAGTAGACCCTCAGATATAGGCAATGAAAAAGCCATCGAGGGCTTACAATCTGGTATGGAGGACAGGACATTCGGTAAAACAAAGCACAAGGTGTGAGGCTCTGGGACCCAGCACAGAGAATCCTCATAGGAGTGGAGGGAGCTCTCCAGCCTTCTAAATGCACGAGTACCTGAGTCCTAAGACTATAGAAGGAAAAAAAAATGGGTATTACTTACATTGTACAGATATCTGCATCAAATGAAGAAAACACTATTCTTCTCTTCCCAGAGTTTTCTAAAACAGTTTTTAAAATTATATCCAAAAACAGATTCATGTCAAAATATGTTGATAAGTTCCCATCCCACATTCCATCCTATGTGGAAGAAAAATGAAAACTATTATACACCCTGGAATCACAATGCTAGAATAAAGTCTTAAAAGCGTACAGTTCAAGACACATTTAAAAAAATTTTAAATATATTTTATTGAGTTACTAAAGTTATACCACAGGATGTTATGGAATACATAGATAATACAAAGGATACTTAAGTGAAGCTAATTAACATACCCATCATCCCACACAGTGCCCCATTTTGTAGTCAGAGCTGCTAAAATCTACTCAGCATGTATCTCATGAATAGGTAATTTTACTGCCTTAGTCCTCATGTGAACACTGAGATCTCTAGAGTTGTTCATCCTATACATCTGCTACTTTGTATCCTTTGACCTATATCTCCCCATTTGCATCTTCCCTCCCTGTCCCTGGTAACTAGTTTTGTTCTCTATCTCTACATACTTGAATTTAAACTTTTTTCTTTTTTAGATAAGTGAGATTATGCAGTATTTTTTCTCTCTGTGTCTGATTATTTCACTTATTATATAATGCTTCCAGGCTCATCTAAGCTGTGGCAAATGGCAAGATCTTGTTCTTTTCTATAGTGTTTATATTCCATTGTGATTTTTTTTTCACCCATTTGCTTCTGCATCTTGGCTATTATGAATAATGCTTCAATGAACATGGGATGTCTTTACAAGGTAGTGATTTTACTCCTTTTCAGTATAAACACAGAAGAGGGATTGTTGGGGGTTACAGGGCAGTTCTATTTTTAATTTCTTTAGTAGCATCCATATGTATCAAATAACTACTGTACCAATCTACCTTCCTACCAACAGTGAACAAGAGTTCCCTTTTGGCCACACCTTAGCCAACATTTGTTATCTTTCAGCTTTTTGACAATAACCATACCTAACAGGTAGCACAATTATATTGGACTACTTTTATTTCACAGATGAAGAAGCCAAAGGCCTGGAAAAGACTGACTTGCACAAGACCACACAGTTATTTTTAGTGATGGCACAGCAATCATAATTCAGGTGCCAAGATTTTACCTAAACAGTAATTAACTGTCATGTGAGGTGGTACACACCTGTAATCTCAGCACTCGGGAGGCTGAGGCCACAAGGATTGCGAGTTTAAGGCCTGCTTGGGTTACCACAGTAAGTTTCAGGCTAGTCTGGACTACATAAGTGAGATCCTGTTGCAACAAAACCGAAACTCAAAAAAAGAATAATAAAGTACATCATCAATCTGTTTGGCTTCAAATAAAGCTGAATAAATAAAAGCTGAAACTTTTTCTTGCAGTCTACTGTAAGTTTAAGGTAATGATAAAATCTTCATAAACTATGAAGCACTTATACTTCATTTGTTAAAAGAGATCCTATTATGTATGAATGGCCAGTTACCAAAAAAAAAAAAAAAGACCCTATTAAGTACACATATATATTTTAAAAAAAAAAAGCCCAACTAATCAATACAACTTCAAAATCTCATTCTTTGGGACTTAGGCATATCAAATACCATCAAAATATAGTTTAAATAAGTGCCAGGTGCCAGTGGCTCACGCCTGTAATCCTAGCTACACAGGAGGCAGAGATCAAGAGGATTGTAGTTTAAAGCCAGCCCGGGCAAATAGTTCTAGAGACCCTATCTCGAAAAAACCATCACAAAAAAGGTCTGGTAGAGTAGCTCAAGGTGTAAATCCTGAGTTCAAACCCCAGCACCACAAAAAAAAAGAAAAAAAAAAGTGTGTGTATATATGTGTGTGTGTGTATAGATCTATATCTATAGATACAGATATATACATAGTTTAAAATAATTCAACAAATATAGCCAAAATACAAAGAGCCATATTGACATTTGAATATTAGATGTTCTAAATATTAGTAAAAATAATTATAGAAGCTTGGAAAACTAAAAATCACATATTAGGAAAATCTTGATTAAGTATTTATTATAAGAACTCAGACCAGCTTAGTCTGTCATAAATAGCATGATTTGAAGTTATAGATTATCCTGACCAAAACCAAATTCTAGGATACCAGTCCAAATGTACAAGTAAGATACCCAAATCACCTACTTCAGCACCCCACCCTGATCTAACACTCTTACTATTCATCTTATCTATTTACTCATATCTCCTTATGCTGATATGTTCAATAGCTCTTGTTTTCCTCAACTAGAATCTAAGTCCCAGGTAAACAGAGCCTTATTCTATCTTGTACACTACTGTCCTCAGCAGTCAGAAAATGTCTGGCCCAAATATTTCAATAAATATTTGTTTAACAAATAGATGATCAAATTTGGGCATGATTTAAGATGTATCTGTGAAAATTTATTTTCCTGAGTTACTACTACCCAACAGAAAACTGCTTAGGAGATTATTTTAAAATGTGTTTAGATGGAGAATTAGAAACAAAAACTAAAGAAAGTTTTGACTGTATACTGTATAAGGATGCCTGGAAGGCATTCATATTAATTAATGTGCACATAAGACACATCTATATTGACATTTTTTATAACACATGCATCATTAACTTTAAAAGTACTCGTATCAGTATGAGAATAAGGTAGGCTTTATTAAAAGGGTCTAACAAGCACTGTGCTTTGATAGAAGAAGCTACAAAATTTCAGTTTCACTTAATCCTACTGAAACAAAAAGATGGGGGGAAGGGAGAGATTTTTTTTTTTTTAATGGAGGAAGGGAGGAAGAACAATGTGATATATAGAGAACTACTTACCCTTTGTTGGCAGATCCATTTTATTTCTATATTAAACCCTACATCTTCTGGCAAAGATTCTAAAACCTTGAGTTTTGTTTTGTTGGTGAATTTTGTTTGGTTTTGGTGAGATGGATGGCAGAATAAAAAAAAAGAAGAAAACAATTATTACAAAAATAAAGAAGAATGTATTACCCGTAAGAATAAAATGTTTTGTGCCTTCAGTATAAGCCATTATCTTTTGATATACTCATACAACCTGCTTGATGATTATGTTAAATAAGAAAGTCAAACGACTTAACAGCAAAGCAGTAGTTTCAAGCACTGATGACTGATAAGCATCACCACAAAGATAAAACCTTAACCCAAAGTCCTTTTCACCATTCCTTCTAAACATCCAAGGTGACATGAAGAATTCCAGAAGACATCTGTCATGTTTTGTGAGATGTATTCAGGTATGTGAATATACTTTTCTAAGATATGATTACATGAAAACCTACAGTGTTTAGCTTGTTTCAATAGTGATGATGCTGGGGCTGGTAGAGTGGCTCAAATGGTAGAGTGCCTGCCTGTCTAGCAAGTGTAAAGCCCAAGTTCAAATTCTAGTACCACCAAAATAAAAAAACAAAATAAACAAAAAAGAAAACCCAAAGAAAGTGATGATGCTTAACAAATACCATGCTGAAAACCCAAAGAAAAGATATTGTTTCCAAATAAAAGATTATGCTTAAGGCTCATAAATCAAAATGCTATAATCTATACAAATGAACAAATAAGTTGGTCACTTTATCTAGAAAAAAATTTTTAGATACTTTCTAATCAGGGTACTTTGATACTCATAACTAGAAAATTGGATTAAAAATGTAAAATTGGTTACTAACCCACAAAAAATGGATTTGTTGAGCCTTAAAACAAATGCCAGGGGCTGCCTAGCAAGCCTCATGAGGCCCTGAGTTCAAACCCCAGTACCACAAAAAAAAAAAAAAAGCCAGGCCAATACATAAGCATGTTGAGGGCACAAATTTGACAAAATTTATGTTTTTACTTCAATTGATTTCAATCATTAAACACATAATACATACACTACTTAAGCAATAACACAGCCTGGATCTACACTAACCATCTACATGTAAAGCTGTACCTGAAACAGTTTGTGCTCAATTCTGTCTGGGACTTTTTTCTCCTATATCTAAAGTCTTATTTATTTAATATACTTATGTTTTATTGGACTAATACAAGTTTAAAAAAAAGACAAGAGTGTGTACTAATGTTGAGATTATTTACATCAAATTTTAAAAAAGAATGTCCTTATACTACAAATATATTTGGCAATTTTGGGGGACTTAAAATTTATTTGTGATTAATGAGTGATAGCAAAGTGAATGAATAAGTGTACATGTGCATAACTTATCTGGCTAATTAAATGTTGTCAACACACAATTTAATTTTTTTCCCTGTTGAATGAAGGTCTGGTAATCATGAGATTTCTGAAAACTAAATGATTTTAGATTTTTTCTTTCCCCCTAAATATTGGGGTTTGAGTTCAGGGCCTCACTATTGCTAGACAGGAACTCTTCCACTTGAGGGACTCTGCCAGCTCTTTTTAGTGTTGGGTATTTTTGAGATAGGATGACTTCGAAACTTGATCCTCCTGATCTCTGCCTCCTGAGTAGCTAGGATTAAGGCATGAGCTGGCTGTGCCCAGATGACTTTAGTTTTGAACAGGAAGGAATGAAGTCACTTAGCTAGTCAGTTAATTATCTGAAAAATTGTAAAAATCATGCAATATCCACTATGGGCTCGTCCGTGATGTCCTTTATACAGAATACAGAAAAGTTAAATATGAATATATAATTAACTTTTAACCACTTGAGATTCCTGTTATATTCTTGACTGTTTTATGAACTTCCTGGGTAATACAAACCTACATATTTTAACAAAATAGTATCATTATTGATTCCTTATTGTCAGTTTAGCAAACAGATGATATATTGGGTAAAAGCCCCATGCCCAAAAAATACATTTTTATATCATGATAAACTGAAATCACCTATTTTGCATAAGTAATCTTCTGCGCCTGACATTATCAGAAAAAACAAATAAAGGAAGGAAGGAAAAGAGAAACTGTGAGGACTGGCACAATGGTTCAAGTAGTGCAACACCTGCCTAGCAAGTGTGAGGCCCTGAGGTCAAAGCCAATACTTCCTCCCTGGCCCCTCCCAATGAAGAAGGGGGTAATGGGAAGATGCACCCAGCGTCTCTAGGCATCTATGTGAGCTTTCTTGATGCTGTCCGAAGGATCCTCCAAGGACTGTGTCTGCATTTTAAGTCTTCATGCTAGGTTTCGAGTGCACTTTTTGATAGTGAATTTTTGTAATCCATGTCTCATTTTAAGTTATGGGAGCACTTCTTTTCTCTGGTTGGAAAATCTTATTTCTCTTGAAAATCTAAGGCACAGTTTTAAATGGTGTAAAAAAAAAAAAAATGCCTCTCCTACCATCACATTTTACTCCCACCCATTTTCCTTTCTGTGCCCTCTCCTTCCTGTCACACAGAAATAGTATTAATTTGCTATTGTTACCAAATTAACCCATTGAGTAGTTTTTATTAATTTGATTAGATAAGTTGCTCTCAAAACCAAAAAGCAGCACAAATAAACCACAGAAAAACACTGCTGCTTCTAAACACACCAATGGTGATAAATTTACATTAATGTTTCTCACACAGCCTTTATAGTGCCCAGTTAAGAGATCAAAATATTTAGGCAGAAGGAAATAAATGAGATAACCTTCCCTGGTTGTCTTTAAGGAACTTACCATCTTAAGAGAAGGAAATGGCTGGTTTTCAGAAAAGGAACTTTCCTCCTGAACCAGAGATTCTGAAATTTTAAATAACAAAAACTCAATAAAGAAAATGCTACTAGCTCACTAAGGTCTTTTTTTTTTTAATCCTAAAATAGATCAAGTGTGCTGAAATATTATGATGTATTAAATGTACTGCATTTATTATTTTCAATGATGAAAACTGAACTTTCTAAATTTAACCCTAACAAAGACTACTTTGTAACACATTCAACACTACAGTTTATGCCTTCAACAGTGATTATTTTCTTATAAAGATTAGAATAGTACTCATTAAAAAGTAGTCAAAAGCAGTGATTTGTTGTTTCTCAATGGAGGTAAGAGTTGTATCATTTTGCTAATAAGACTTCTACCTGAAACACCAAATTCAGCTAAGAAACTTAGAGAATTTTTAGCTACTTTTTAAAGCATCATCATTTAATCCAAGAGATCATATCTTAAGAATCAAAGGAGGAGCAGCAAGATGGGTAATTTGAAGAGTCCTATTTTGACTCCATGAATCAGAAGTCAGGTAATAAAGGAAAGACCACATTCTGAGGAGAGGAAGAGCACTGGGAACCACAAAAAAAGGTGATGGAACAGCTGAATGGGGGAAACAGAAAAGTGACTGCAGAAAGCAGCCCCAAGCTATACCACCTGTGGCCTTCTTCCCTTCCCCCCTCCCCATGGGAGGGGCTTTATAGCAGCAATGAGTAGGAAGAATCAATCACTACAAAAACAATGAAATGGAAGGAATTACTAGATACTTTTCAATAATAACTTTGAATGTTAATGGTCTCAATTCTCTAATCAAGACACAGACTAATGGACTGAATATAAAAACAAAAAACAAACAAACAAGACACACTGCTAGGCACTGTTGGCTCAGGTTGGTAATACTAGTTACTCAGGAGGCAGAGATCATTTTGCGGTTCAAAGCCAGCCCAGGCAAATAGTTTGGGACACCCTATCTCGAACAAACCCACCACCAAAAAGGGCTGGCGGAGTGGCTCAAAGTGTAGACCACGAGTTTAAACCACAGTACCACAAAAGAAAGAAAAAATATTAGCACGTGTGCACACACACACACACACACACACACACACACACATACAAAATCTGAGATCTAACTGACAACCCTTTAGTCAAACCAAAAAGGTAAAAAGACCCAAATTAACAAAATTAAATGAGAAAGGGAACAGAACAACAAATACCAATGAAATTTAGAGGATCATTAAGGAATACTTCCAAAAACATGTATTCTAATGAACTGAAAAATCTATAAGATATTGCTAAATTTCTATATGCATGACCTACCAAAACTGAACCAAGGATACAAATCATCCCAACACAAATACAACAAGCAATGAAACTGAAGCAGATATAAAATCTCCCAACAAAGAAACACCAAGGACCACACTGATTCACTGCAGAAGAACTAACAGCAATGTTCCTCAGGTTAGTTCATAAAATAGAAAAGGAAGGAATACTACCAAACTCAGTAACAAAACTGGACAGGGACACCGTAAATATCCATACATATACATAGAGAACTCAAGGTAATTCCCACAAAAATTCTGATGTCATTTTTCCCAGAAATACAAGACTCAATCCTAAAATCAACCCATGTTTTACAAATTGAAAGACTGATTATATAACAATTTCCATAGATAAATTTCATTTTACTATTAATAGTTATTTCACATCTGTAAGCGTCTAAGTTGCTCTGGAGATAATCTTTGGAATCTTAAGCACCTCACCAATTCCTTCATACTGGTATTAAAAGTACACTGTTAGAGAACTGCAGACAAACTACTGAGTACCTGCCATATATAGAACACTCAGTAAATCTCTGGGACTAGAACTCATTTTCCCAGCCATGAGAGGCTTACATTCTAGTTGAAGAAAGAAGACCTAAACAAAAATAAAAAGTTTCAAAAGGATACAATAAGCCTCAAATGAATACTACAGATTATTAGGCTCTGTGGCAAGTAGAAAGTAACCTGGAATTACAAAGGAATGTAGCAGGCAGGACACACTTTGAAGAAAATGAGACTCAGAGTAGCTAAGTAAAACAATCTACCCACCTACTTCACAGCTGTGAAGGATAGTAAATAAACTCCTGGCTCTGAAACTGGATTCTATGTATGACATGCTCTCTACTTTGTCACAGTTACGAATTTTTGGAAAGATTAATAGGTACAAAACTGCAAAGAACTCTGATCATGAAGATAAAGAAAGTAATAAAATGGTTACTAAACATAGGACATATAGTCAGTTGAAAATTAAGGCTTTCACATCTATGAAATTACACTCAAATGGTCCGATATTATATTCATCAAAATGACCAAGGATATTTTAAAATGGATAAGCAAATACTTTATAAATGCTAATGACAAAATGAACAACAATGCTTCCCATACATTTGGAAAGGTACATACCTTTCCGATCTTTAGATTTTAGTGCGGTCACATGAGCAAGCTAGAAAACAAAAACACACAAAATACAATTAGGAAAAAAAAAGTCTTAGTTTATGAAGAGATGGTTAATAAAACTTCAAAGTTATCAAATTAGGAAAAACCTTATAAAATGTCAGTTTAATAAAAATAAGCATTGCCCAGCACTGATGGCTCACGCTTGTAATCCCAGCTGCTAAGGAGGCAGAAATCAGGAGGATCATAGTTTGAAGCCAGCCCAGGCAAATAGTTCTCAAGACCCTATCTTGAAAAAAACCCAACACAAAAAAGCTGGTGGAGTGACTCAAGGTGTAGATCCTGAGTTCAAACCCTAGTTAAAAAAAAAAAAAAAAAAAGACACTGTATGCATTTTATACATGTATGCCTATGCAAAGGCATGACCAAACACTCAAATATGGAAAAGAAAGGGAAGAACAACAATTCTTAATTTAGGCTGGCAGAGTGGTTCAAGTGGTAAAGCACCTGTCTACCAGGTGTGAGGCTCTGAGTTCAAACCCCAGTACTGCCAAAAACATAAAAATCTTAAGTTAGGAAACAGTTTATTCTTGCATCAACCACTTTTTTTTAAAAGGGAATCTTAAGTAGGGAAGGGAAGATAAATCATGTAAAATTAACTTTGTATAACACAACATATGAAGATCCTAGAAATTAACATGTATAAAACCAACTGTCACTTAAAAGGCCTATTGTATAGGGCTACTGCAGAGCAGAAGCAACCTAGCATCATGGATGTGAAGGGCTAGTCCCTATGGCCTCAAAGACATACATTTCTTCATGAATGGGATCCAAGACAACTTTTGGAGAAGAGAGCTGGGTCTACAGCCATGCCACCCTAAACACACCAGATTTCATCTGATCTCAGACACTAAGGAGGGCTGGGTCTGGCTGGTACTGCGATGGAAAACAACACATGGATCAGCATAAACCCATTTCCTGAAATTAGAATAGAAACCTAAAGCAGATTCTATGTATGCTGAGTATAAAATATAGTCATTTTCATGAAGAATACACAGGAGTGTTAAGAATGGGTAAAGCTAAAGGAAAATTCACATTTGATGTTCCTGTTACTACCTTTAACAACTGGAGTTGGTCAAATGTTAATTCCTTTACTGGAATTTCAAATAATTCAACTGGATCAGCATCAAATTTCTATTAAAAAAAAAAGAGAGAGAGAGGGAGTGTGACCTGTTTATTACTGAATGTTTACATTAGATGAGTCTATAATCTTAATTTACAGGATGATGATAATTACTACTAGGTAGCCATCATGATCTCCATGCAGAAAAGCCCTTCATACCTAATACTACCTCCCAGCTCTTCTGTTCTTTCAGTCAGCTGTGCCTGTCCCCACTTTGTGCTGGGATTGAACCCAAGGCCTTGCACATAGGCAGCTACCTTAGCCCTTGACTTTTGTTTTCAATACAGACAGTGAGTGCCTGGAAGGAATATGCAGCTGGGAGGAAGCTGTGGAACTGAAGACACAACTGATGACCAGAGCGCGACATTGGTCATCATTTCCCCTGCTTTCTTCATGCAGATATATTTTATTTGACACATACCCATGCTACATGCCTAGGAAATCAACATGCAAATACTATAAAGGGTTAATCTCTGTCAATAAGATTATAAGCTTTTTGTAAGCCCTTTATATGTAAAGTTTGATTAAAAATAGTAGTCATGCAAACTGCCATGAAAACTGCCCATAAGCAATAATAACATTTAGTAAGACCTCTGATCTACCACATTTCCTCCACAGGCAAATATACTCTTCTAGGTTTTAATGCCATATCAAATGTCACACTGTTGGAGGTATCACCATTTAAGGAAATGAGTTAAGGAACCAACAATAAATCATCAATCCAATAAGTATGTTAAAAGCCATTGCATATATACATATATTCACTCATGTACATGGGTACAAACCTGTGTATGCATAAAGCTTTTCTGCAAGGGTACATAAAAAACTATTAATAAGGGAGTGATACCAAGGAAAGGGAGAGAGGAAGAGTTCTTATCTCATAATCTTCCGAACTACTTGGATTTTTCCTAATGGACATGAATTGTTTTTACGTAAAAAATGTCAGGTTAAAAACTAAAACTCCCCTAAAAATATACATTACTTTCTTTCCCCAATTAACTCATTCAAGTTCAACTTCATTAAGAGTTATCCTAGTGAAAGTGAGGGATCAGTAACTCTATAATAAACTCTTAAGATTTTTTTTAAAATAACATTCTCATACAGCAAAACAAAAAAACTTTCCACTTCTTTTTATTCTGTCTCCGTCTTCATCAGAAATGGATGCACTGCCTTCCTTCCAGCTCCTGACACCATTTCACAAAGGTAAAAGGGTTCTTTTCTACCAATACTATAACCCAGTCCCTTAGGTATGCTTAGAAACCACTACAGCTAAAGCCTGGGTACAGCGTTAGCAAAACTGACCTTAACATTAAATCAACTCACTTGAAAATGACACCCAATACAGTTTTAAAGAAAATGTCAAAGGAGCCTTCCTAATTTTAGTCCTTGAGAAACTACTTGGTTAATTTATATACTTACATTCAGGAAATATATAAAGACAATTATGTTTGTACAATGACAACTTGAAAAAATTTTTATTTTGGAATCTCATTCAGGACTTTCCCTGCATCAAGCCCTCACGATTCTCCTTGTTCCTACTGCATTAGTAGCTCAAATTACTGCTTCCCCTTCCCTCTACTATGTCCAGTGAAACTCTTATTATAGTCATCAAAGTATCGTTCCTGAAGTTTAGTTCTAAACATCTCCCTTCTCCGCCTAAAATTTTCTCACATCTCCCTGGTTTTTAGCTAAATCATGCTAGCTTATTAATTTGAGAAATAAGATGGCTCCTAGAGAACAAACACTGATATTCCTCTTCTAGTGACAGTGGCAGACTGATACAGAAACCATCTGCAAGGTCTCTTTATTAATAACAAAAAAGCAAATTCAGCAATACAAAGACAGTACTCTAGGGTCAGTAGAGTAGGAAATCAATAGTCTCATCTCTTCACTCTCTAATATGGCAAGGTCTTGAGAGAGAAAAGGATGGGCAGTTATTCATCAAGAAATTGACTAACTCTATTTGGTAATTAAAAACATGATTTCTTGATTTTTAAACCTTTTAGCAGTAAGTGTAAAATGAAGGAATTTCAACGTACCTTCTTCATAGTCAAACAACAGGTGAGATCATGATACACCACAGGCACAAAATCTTTTGAAAGATGTACATCAAATTCTACAAAGGCTGCACCCTGATAGAAGAAAGGATGCAAATATTTAAAAAAAAACATTTTATGGTGTGCCATATGTATAAACGTCCACAAACTTAAGAAATTTACTACTCAGTATAAAACTATGTATCTTTCAACAATCCAATGTTGTTTAAAGAAAAACAAGTTACTTACGTGACTAGCAGCATTTCTTAAAGAAGCAATAGTATTTTCTTGTACTTTAGCTAACCTAAAAAGAAATATAGTTGTTACAAACTACAGAAAAGAAACAAATGTACTAAATAAGTCAACAATATTTTCAACAATGGAAATAGTATTTATTCTTTATCTTGAGGCTAATTTTGCCATACCGTAATATGAGCATGACCACGCTTGAATGGTGTGTCAAGCATGTAATCTTGACACACCAGTAATGTAATCTCTAACAAACTTTTAAGTATTTACAAACTGAAGACAGGGATGTCCTAGATCACAACACATATCTCCCCCCTGTAGTATGGATTGTTTCTCTTAGAGACAAATGAGGTGACTATTTAAGGAAAATAATCCTTTTCAATGGTAAAAAGAGACAAAAACTTGATCCTTGCAATGAAGCCTGTGAATGACTTATTATTTACACAGTGTGGATGAATGGAAAAGATTGACATGCCAACAGGAAAAAAGTATGAAAACTTTACTAAGACATAAAGGAAAGGGATGAAAATTTATTGTTTGGTTAAGAAAGGGCCTGAGGGTGATTCTTCCTTATGTAGTAATTTGATTTATTTTACAAGCTTAATAGATCATCACAGGTCACAAAGATATCATGACATCACTCTAAAATAAAAGTAGGGCTGAAGGTGTAGCTCACTGGTAAAGCACTTGCCTAGCATATGCAAGGCCCTGGGTTTGATACAAAACACCACCCCCCCAAACAAAATTTGTAGCATAAAGCCTTTGGCAATAAGCTATAACATTGGTAATAAATTTGCGAAAGTAGAAAAGATAACTGTGCCAGGCTGGAATTTTATCTGCTAAGACAAGGCAGGACATCTTTCTGATGAGATTTAGGTTGAACTAATATTCCCTACATTTATTTACACACACTTTCATAGAATCATGGATGCTCAGAGCAGAAAGAAACATTAGGGATAATCTTAACCAAATCCTTCATTTATAGATAAGGAACCAGATCCAGAGAGGGCAACTTGCAAAATGCAAGGAACACAACAAAAACACACTGATGACACCAAAGCTTTCTGCAGCAAACTTTCCCTCCTGGCTTTTTACTTTCTCATTACTGATTCAATACATTAAAAAGACTAACCAGACTCAAATAAAGAGAATTGGTCTCTAATTATTTTGAAATAGGAACCACTATCAACAAGTTATATTTAATAATATAATAAAGGCATCATCTGATTTTTAGTAGGTTAACCCAATTAACCTTATCAAGTCTGAGCTACTCCACAGTGATCCCATGTACATACTCAACCTACTGGGCAGTTGTTGTTGAGTTCCCTGCACCTCGATGGCCAACATCCAATGGTATTCTTGGCTTCCAATACTTGGAAAATGAAGATTTCATGTCACAACTGTATCCTGGCAATGGCTTAATGATGATAAAATCAACTTTCACAGAAAAAAAAAAGAGGGAGGAACAAAGAGAAATGGTTTAAAAGGCTATTATGAACTCAATGATGTAAGAATAGCACTAAAAATAGCTTTTTATCAATTTCTATCAAATAGAAAAAAATCAGGGCAAAACTGATTCAAAGTAAGGCTTCTAGAAAATTTAACAGACATATACTCCTTAAACTGTTACTGTACTAGTTAATAATTTAAAGCAAATTATTAATTTAATCATTACCATTCTCAAATACTCAATGAGAATTGTAACTTAACCTTAACTTGTTTGTGATGGCCCTCCTGCTACTCCCAGCTTACCTCTCACTTTTCCTATCGTTTTCCGGGAATTTCTGCTCATTATGGGAAGAGTAAGGATCCCAGCACTCCTCCCACTCTCAGCAATGGTGGATGATAAGAGGCATGCTGTACCGACGTGTCCAGGAAAGGCATCACCTTGAACTACATGCTCACTGAGATCTTCCTAAAAAGTGAGGTTTGAGATACTCTGAATTCTTAAACTTGTTAATTTAAAAATCAAAGAACTCTTTAAAGTCAACTCAGAGTCTATGGAAGAAAACTGATTTAAAAAAAAAAAAAAAAGAAAAAAGTAACACAACACTGGGTGCTGGTGGCTCACACTTGTAATCCCAGCTACTTGGGAAGCAGAGATCAGGAAGATCAAAGTTTAAAGTTAGAGAGAGAGAAACTTAAGACATATTTGTGATGAATTCTTTTTCTTTTTCTTTTCTTTCTTTCAGTACTGAGGTTTAAACATAGGGTCTCTCACACTTGCAAGGCAGGTGCTCTACCCCTGAGCCTTACCTCTGGCCTTGTAATATTTAATGTAGATTATATTTTCTATAAATGTGGCAACATGGAAAACATATAAAGATAGTAACTATCTTTGAAATTACACTGGCTATTTTAACAGCCTAGCCTATGAATAAAACAAAAATGCTCCCAAACTTAAAGGGGAGTTAGGATTCAACGGATTATAAGAAGGAACTGTTCCAAAACTTCATACTGTATTTTATAATAAATTCCCAGCTATTCTTGCTTAAATTAGATTTATAGTTTTTAAAACTGAAATTCTAGAGTAAATAATTTAGATTCCATATAATCAGAGATAGTCAAAAAGTTACTCACACATGCAAAAAATATCTAAAGAAAATATCAAAATGAACAATTCAAAGAGTAATAATTTTAATTATGTGTAACATGCTTCACTCAGTAGGTTTAATTCCCACCGTGAATTGTGTCAAAAAAAAATCCCAAAAAACTGGTTACATGCTACTGTACAGACATGTTCCCTTCCCTCAATGATGGAAAGGTGAGGAGGTGACAAAGGAACTAGAGGATATGGAAACCAGTGGGCAAGGTGCACTGTGGTAAGGACTTTAAAGGAGGTGCCAAATATTATTTGTGGGGAACATTTGAACAGGCAGTGAACTAAGAGGCTCTAGTGTAAGTATTATAAGTAGCTTGGAAAAACTGGCAGAACAGACTGTACACCCTATACAAGCTTTATAGCTATTTTTATTACACATTTATAACATGAAACTGGAAAAGTAAGTCCACTGCCACAACAAATCCTCATAATAAAGGACTCAATAAAAGATTGCCACCATGAAGGTGACTCACCCATGCTAGTTACACAGATTGTTCAGCAAGAGGTATACGGCCTGCCTGTCCCTCTACTTATCACTAGAGGCCAATTTGCACAACTCATTTATATTCAGACTCTTTAACAGACATAGACATCAAGACATCTAGTCTTGGTTTGAAACAGCAAGTCTACTTAAGTTCTCTTAGTTACATTCTTTCTTTATCCCTCTGAGGTACTGAGCCTCCAAGTGCTCTAGCACATGAGCCATGTCACTAGTCCTTTTATGCTAACTTTGCTAGGGGTTGGTCTCAAACCTCATTCCTTCTCTCTGCTTCCTGAGTAGTTGGGTTCCAGGCATGCAGCACCACACCTGATGTGGTGCAGCCAACTTTATTCTTAATAATACTTCAGTTTATATGAATCATGACATTACACAAGTTAGATCAAAACAAAAATTGGCCAGGCACTGGTGGCTCACACCTGTAATCCAGCTACTCAGGAGGCAGAGATGAGAAGGATCATGGTTCAAAGCCAGCCCAGGCAAATAGGCTGCAAAACCCTATCTCAAAAAAACCCATCACAAAAAAGGGCTGGTGGAATGGCTCAAGGTGTAGGCCCTGAGCCCCAGTACTACAATCAATCAATCAAGCAATCAATCAATAAATAAACTACGTATAAATAAGCTTATGATTGCACTCTTTCTGTCCACTCCTTTATGGAAGTAACTACTCACCTCAAAAAAATCAAAGATTAGTTCCAGGTTATCTGGTTCCATTGTCTGTATGCTGTACTCTGTCCATCGATCAGGCTGTAAGCCATAGCCACACTCCGGCTGTGAATGCCTGCACTTGAATTCATTATCGCTAATTAAGGCTATTTCCAGGCTGTTGGACATTTTGTGAAGAACAGTGGGAGATACCCTATCATCATCATCTTCCTCTGGACCCTCTAGTGTAAGCTTTACCCTACACAATAGGAGAAAATAATGAAATGCAAAAGCAGTAAAGAAGAAAGGTGAAGTGCAAATTCTAATGTAAATTTAAATATTCCCCAAATATGCTTAAATGACAAAAATAATACATTATACAAAGACAACATATATTATGTACGTCAAAGCATTCAGTATGTTTTATCCAAATGCAGAAATTTCTGCAAGGTATTTAAGCGGGATAAATGTCCTTTATACCTACTAAAGTTGTTTTAGTTCATTCTTTTTTTTTTTTAAATAACCTAAGGGGCACCCTCTCTTGGGACTCCTTCCTAATCTACGAGCTGTATTTTTTACTCAAAAAAACCTAATTGGTGGCACACTGGTTCAAGTGGTAGAAGGCCTGCATAGTAAGCATGAGGCCCTGAGTTCAAGCACTAGTACAGCCCATGGAGGGGAAAAAAAATCTAAAGAAGTATTTACAATTATCCAAATAGTATTTACTAGTCTCCAAATAGTGGAAACCTCAATTTTATAGCCTTCAAATATCAATAAGAAAAAATTTTGGTGGGAGGTAGGGGTACTGAGGATTGTATCCAGGGCCTTATGTTTCTACCATTTCAACCACACTCTTAGTTCCTTTTGGTGTTTATTTTTGAGATAGGGTGTCACTAATTTTGCTTCACTTTGAATTCACCAGGTCTTCCTCTCTGGGCCTCCTGAATAGCTGGGGTTATAATGTGAACTACCACACCCAGCTAGTAACTCCTTTTGAGAGATCTTACAAATGCAGATACATAACAAGCACAAAACTGGATCAAAGTCTGTTAATTTATAATACCAAATTCAGATCTGAATGTTTTAACTGAAATTTTCCCCTTTCCTCTCGTCCTTACCTTATACAGTAAAAGTCGAGATACCCTGTTAAAAAAGTGTATCACTAAAGAAAAAGTATTAAACTAAACATAGTTTTATGCATATGTGAATGCAGGATGAAACAAACAAGATTTGCTAATTCTTATAGGCCTCACACCAATGAAAATGAAAACCAGTCATCAAAGCCATAAGGCCACATGACTATTAGCCAACTCCTACTGAGAAGCAATTACCTGCAAAGTGCACTTACAATGTCAAAAAAAGTAAACTCAATTCTGGAATATTTCTTGCACCAACTGAAATGTGTACAGATTAAACAATTTAAATATTATTAATGTAGGGAGGGAAGTTACTATAGAGGATAATAGTTGAATTATAAAAATCAGTTTGTAGATTTAAATGCGACCTCACTTATACTACTAATAATGAAATTATAATATTGAGCCCTGTTCTCTCTGTGTGACCTCTGCCACCAACACTGCTGGTCTTAGAGCAATATAATTTTGAAGTCTCCCTGAGGGGTCAGCTATACAGATTACTGCTCTACAGTCACACTATAAAACCAAAGTAGTGCACCAGGATGTGGCTCACGCAGTAGAACACCTGCCTAGCAAACACAAGGCCCTGAGTTCAAACCCCAATACTGCAAAACAAACAAACAAATCATTTCAATAAGCCAGAACAAAAATCATCATCTCTTTTCAGAAACCAAACTCTTAGGAATGGTTCTGGATTCCTTAAGTTAGCCTGAAGAAACAATATTCTCCACAACCATATGAAGAGATCATAAATGTACAGAAATTAAAAGCAGGGAGGGGGAATATGCAAGTTTCCTATGAAGTTTACCTTCATAGTAAGGTACCTATGAAACTTAGTTCATTTTATTTATTTTACAATTTTTCCAGCAGAAGGGGGAAAGGGAAAAGGAAAGGATATCGAGGGGTGAAGAAGATACAAGTATGCTGCATATATGTCTATTAAGATAGCATAATGAAACCTAGGAGACACTGTTTGAAAAGAATATGGTGACTCATGACAATAATCCTAGCTACAAGAGAGACTGAGATTGGGAGGATTGAGGGTTGAGGCCAGCCCTGGCAAATAGTTCCTGAGATCCCATCTCCAAAATAACCAGAGCAAATGGACCATGGATTGGAGGTATGGCTCAAGCAGTAGAGCTCCTGCTGTGCAAGCATGAAACCCTGAGTTCAAATCCTAGTCCCACCAAAAATTATTAAGAAAAGAGAAAATAAGGAAAAAAGGGGTATGAAAATATAATGGAGGGGTGAATCTATCCCAAGTACACTAGGCACAACATAAATTATCACAATGAAAAAAAAGGGTTCTCTTCAGGTAGCTATATAAATGTTACAGGGAATCATAAAAAGATATCATCATTGCTTTCTACTAACTGGTGGAATCAAAGACAAGAGAAAAGTGTGTTTAAAACTTTGTGATAATGAAATATGCATCCACTGTTTTATTTAAAATGCAAAAAGCTGTTGCTAAGTTTTCTAAAGTACCAAGGCCCTTGAAGATATATTTATTTCTACCCTAAGACTCTGGAGGGGGGAGGAAAAGATGCTTAAAACAAAAACCAATTTCTGCCTATGCACAATTATTTCAATAGGAACCAATTAATTTGTGGAGTTCAACTAAGTATAGCTATAAGAAAATATTTCAGTACCTCAATAACACAATTACAATGATCTCTATAGAAACAAGAATGATGTAAGAATTGATACTCATTTGCATTCCAATCAGATCCCAACCATTAAATTTTTGTGGGGAGAGGAGAGGTAATTGTTGTTTGAACTCAGGACATCATGCCTGCTAGGCCAGAGCTCTACCACCTGAGCTACAACCCCCAGCCATATTTTGCTTTAGTTATTTTTCAGATAGGGCCTTATGTTTTTGTCAGGGGCCACCCTGAAACCCGATCCTCCTACCTATGCCTCCCTGTTGTTGGAATTACAGGCAGGAACCACCATGCTCAGCATCTTGCTAACTATTTTGCCTAGGGTGGCCCTGCACTGATCCTCCCAAACATCGCTCTCATGCAACTATTAATTTCTTAACTGCAGCCAAAATGGGAAAGACCTAGTAAGTCAACTAAACTGTTATTCTAATAAGACAATTTACAGCTATAACAATCATTTATTTGTTTCTTTTAAAATAAGAAGGGGATAAAGGAGAATGATCAAGGGGGGTGAATTCAATTATGATATATTGTAAGAATTTTTATAAATGTTACAATATACCCTCCAGTACAACAAACAAAACATTCAATTATGTATAGCTAACTACTTAAAGAATTCTTCAGGTCGAATGGATCTTGCAGATTGACCAGGTGATCCAATTACCTCAGTTTTCCAGAAGCAAAGAAAAGCTAAGGCACAGAAAAGGGCAAGCTACACAAACCCAATCCTTTGCCAATGCAAAGGATGGTGATGTGTCTGCTATTCCCTTACCTATGACTGAGACATGTAAGCACTACAGCACGTAGGCAGTTGGAGTGAAACATTGACGGATTTCTAGATTGTGCTATCATTATGAATAAGGAAGATAACAAATACTGAAAATGAATCTTTTAAGCCAGGCCTGACGTTTTGTCAGAAAACCTATGATACAAATCCAGAATTATTCTGAAGTTACAAAGGTCCAAATGACAAGGCTTAAAGAAGCCGATTCACTCAGAGGTATGAACAATATTACAGAAAAATGAAATTAATTATATAACCCTTTAAACAGTCTTACATCTCTAACACTGATACAGGCTTACAAAAACTGAATCTGAAAGTACTATAACTTTAGCCTTTTTTTCATGAAAAATTTTTCCTTTTCAAGCCAGAGTGAAGGCTGATAGTTTGAAGGCTATTTTCAACATAATTTTCTCTATTTATGCCATTTTCTCCTTACTTAGCCAAAAATTTTAAAAACTCAGTTTTATCAATTTTAAAACAAACTATTGTTGCATTAGGGATGATAGAAACTATAAAAATACATAAGTAGTCTGGTGAAGTGGCTCAAGCTGTAGAGTGCCTGCCTTACAAGAGTTAAGTCCCGGAGTTCAAACTCCAGTGCCACCAAAACAAACAAAAAAACCATGAGCTTACAAACCACTTATCTTTATAAAAAGGAAATTTTCTGGTTCTAAATTTAGATATTAAGACTTAACCCAAGAATGTGTTATAGTAGCAACTTCAGGAAAAATCAGTTCACTGTTATAATCCTGTAACTATTAGAAAATGTGACGTATTAGTGTATTATGTTTACTTCATATGCTTAAAAGCTACATAAAAATTGTGGGGTCAGAAATCTATAGCATCAGTAAACATAAGTGGCCTCAGTCACAAAAACATATAGTCATACCTAAATCTAGATTTTTTAAATTTTTTCTTGGTTATTGAGACAGGAGGTTTTTCAGAATAATGCAAACGTAATCTTATTTCAGTCTGACATGTGAGCCATCCAGAATCCAGAGTTTCAACACCATCTGGCAAAGTAAACATGAAGAATAGTAATTACATTTTTTAAACAATCCAGTAGTAGTACACACAATACACACTGACAATTTTAGCTCACATTCACATTTTAATATACCAAAGTGATACAAAACTTGTTCCTCCCCAAAGGAAATTCAGGTAATCCTAAATCTGCCACTGAAGCAGACTTTTATATGAAAAAGGAAAAGGTTAAATGACTACAAACACCCTAAATAAAAAAAAAATGTTCTTACTGAGCCCAGGCGTAGTGGTGCATGCTTATAATCTCCATTCCAACTACTCAGGGAATGGAGACAGGCAGACTGCAGTTCAAGGACAGCCCAGAAAAGTTAGTGTGGGAACCTATCTGAAAACAAACTAAAAGCAAAAGGACTTAAGTGTAGAACTGAAGTGTTAGAGCACTCACCTAGCAAGCAGGAAGCTGAGTTCAATCACCAGTACCCTCCCTACCCCACCCCCCAAAAAACCCCATGGTTCACAAATGTAATCCCAGCCACTGAGAAGGTAGAAATTGAGAAGATCATAGTTCTGATCAGCACAGGAAAAAAGTGAGTGAGATCTCATCTCAACAACAACAAAATAGCTGGGCTTGGTGGCTACTCAGAGTAAGTAGGAGGATCATGGTTCGGGGTTGGGGATGTGGCTCAAGTGGTAGAAGCACCAGGCCCTGAATTCAAAACCCAGTACAGTCAAAAACAACAACAAAAACAAACACTCATTTTATGGAATCCAATATTCAAGTACTGCCAATCTATTTTCAGAAACAGCACATGCTCCACAATGGCTTATGACACAGCAACTGTTCCACTGGGGACCACCTTACACATCCAGAACTTCCCCTGAGCTATCCAACTGAAACTAGCTATGCTGCTATTATTAGAAGCTAGAGATATGAGAGTGTAAGAACAAAACTGAGTTGATTCCGTATTCTTATATTTTGTCACCAAACAAATGGCACGATTAGTATTGTTTAACTTGATGTTACCTACTAACAGATAATAAAATTTTCATAAATACTAAAGAAGCTGTGAACAGCTTTGGACTAAGCTTTTTCTTTCTTTTTTTCTCAGTACTGGGGTTTGAACTCAGAGCTTTGCAGCCGAGACTAAGATTTTATCAAGAGGGCTTAAAAAAAAAACAAACAAAACCAAGAAACACTTTCCTTAAATATAACTTAGGAATGTTTTCATAATCATAGAATTCTTTCCTTTTTGGGGGGCTGGGGAGGGCAGTACTGGGGTTTGAACTCAGGATCTTGCACTTGCTAGGCAAGTGCTCAAGAACTGTCAAAAATCAAACATTATTTTCAAAAGTGCACAAAGTTGAAGAAATGGTTTTCCATCCTGAAAACTAACCAGAGCTGAATTTAGGTTTAGAGAGAGAAGAGAGAGAGAAAGACAGAGAGAAATGTTAAACATATAATGGACATAATGCCACGCACTACAGCTTAAGAAATGAGAAAACTATTCCTTCATAAAATATGTAGCACAAATACAGTCTTTTGTAAATAAGACAAGAACCTAAAAAACAATACTAAAGGTATTCAAATATTGCAGACTGTATTATGATACAATAAAAACAATTCAAAACTAAATCAAGGAAATTAAGCTCAATTCCCTCCAAATACTGCTGAAGCATGTACATTGCTAACATGCATAAACACACATACATACATAGTAAAACCACAACCAAAACATTCAGGCCCTGTTCTTTCCTACACTTGCTAGGAAGACAAACTGGTTATCAGCAATTTATCACTGGTTCAGAGTTAACACAAGCACACATTCTGCCCACTCCCTTTCCACTTTTTGGTTCCTAAGAAATAGTATCTATAATGAGAACACAAGTTAGTATGACAAAGCTGATACTACTAGGAGAACATTCTGGCTACCCTGGATTTTACTGTACATGCATACATAAACATACAATATGCATAAACTTAGCCTAAATTAAGGGTAACCTTTCACACTTTAAATGTTTTCAAACAAAGGGTTAAAGAGATGATATTACTAGTTAAGTATACTACATACATATATAACTTTATTTTTTAATATTTATACATACAGTATTGTATAGTACTTATGTACAATATTATAATACATGTACACAATGAGTAATGTTCAAATTCAGGTAATTTTCATTTCTACCTCCTCAAATAAGTGCTGTAATTGTGAATTGATCATATAAACTCATACTTTGGCCAGGCGCCGGTGGCTGCCACCTGTAATCCTAGTTACTCAGGAGACAGAGATCAGGAGGATCGTAGTTCAAAGCCAGCCCAGACAAATAGTTTGCAAGACCCTATCTCGAAAAATCCTTCACAAAAGTAGGGCTGGTGGAGTGGCTCAAGGTGAAGGCCCTGAGTTCAAACCCCAGTACCGCCAAAAAAAAAAAGAAAAACTCATATACTTTATTATTGTTGTTTTTGGTAGGGCTGGGATTTAAATTCGGGGCTTTGAGCTGGCAAAAATCAGGCATTCACAAAGCAGGTGCTCTACCACTTAAGTCACTCCTCCAGTCCATTTTTGCTCTGGGTATTGTGGATATGGGGATCTCACAAACTATTTGCCCAAGCTGGCCTCAAACCAAGATCTTTCCAATCTCAGCATCCCAAGTAGCTTGGATATCTTGGATTACAGGCATGAGCCACCAGCTCCTGGCTTAAAATTCATACTTTAGCCAGGCACTGGTGGTTCATGCCTGTAATCCTAGCTACTCGGGAGGCAGAGATCAGGATGATCGAGGTTCAAAGCCAGCTCTGGCAGATAGTTTGCGAGAGAGACCCTATCTGGAAAAAACCCATCACAAAAATAAGGCCTGGGAGTGGCTCAAGTTAAAGGCCCCGAGTTCAAACCCCAGAATTGCAAAAAACTCATACTTTAAATCACCAAATGCCAAAAGGGTAACAGTTTAAAACATTGAAAACTGATTATTTAAAAAATGTTTCTTGGATATAAAATTTATCTTAAAACCATACTGTATTCTATTTCCTTGTACCATGTATTTTTAATGAAATGTTTAAGTAACAGGTTAATCATATCACTAAACAGTTTCAAAACTCAGTCTCACTTACTGTGAATTCCAAATTGTCCATCGTCAATAATTATTTCACTTTCTAGAATTCAAGGAAATAGAAAACCTAGTTAAAATTCATGATGAATACAGAATGAACAATTAAGAAATATCCAATTTAAGGACTGTTTAAAATATTAAATCTACACTTAAAAGCAGCCTAATGTGAATAAGCATATTTATTGTAGCCCTCAGTAAAGAATCCTCTTTTAAAGAAGCTAGCAAGCAGGAGATTTTGCAGGCTTTGGTGATTATTTGTGATAACCATAAGGAAGAAAAAGAAAACTCAGAGAGGTGCTCTAGAGGCACTGGAATGAAGGTCTATACCCACCAATGTATGAGACTAACGAGTTGCAAGACAATGGTAACTCCATGCTGGTTTTCAAACCAAAGGTCTTGGCACAATTAAAATGCTTATTCTTATGTAGTGCACATCCTGAACTTGTCTCAAATGTGATTCTCCTCAAACCCCAGCTATTCTCTATAGCCAGCTAAAAGCTTTATGAGCAGCATAAACTTACCTGCATATACAGAGCTGTGAGGAGCTACCAAAAGAGAATAAGTGCTAGCATATCCCTTTCTTCTAACAATTCACTTAAATGAGGAGAGCTGCAAACCCTATCTGAGTAAAATACCAATTATCTTTCCTTCCCAGTAGTCTTCTCAGCTTACTTTAAATAAGCCTGAAATGCTTGTTAAATGTGATAACTCCTAATAAGGATTCTAATAGATTAGTCTCAAAAGTTATTATTTCCCAAAAGTAGAAAACACATTTCTTTCTACAACAGCACTGAAATCACTCTACTTTTCACAATACAGAAACATTTTTCAAGTTGCAAATTGTCTTTTTAAAATGTTCAATAGCCAGTAAGTTCCAATCTCAGTATGGAACTGTTAAACTACCATAAAAATTCTAAATATACTATAAATGTATTGAAACATATACAAAGAAAATCCAATAAAGAAGATGGAATGAGACATCTGTTTAAACAAGATGTGTCCTTGATACAAGGTAAAGGAGAAACTCCCACTACTTTCTCATTTAACCTAGTAAATTAGCAAGTCAGCTATTATTCATAAATTAACTTGAGCTTGGAACTAAATGTATATTTTTCAGCAATGAGTCAATTTACAGATGAATACAAGTGGGAAATTTAATGTATGTAAAATGAACTTCAAATTCCATTTTCAGCATGGAAAATGAAATTCAAAAATACTTGTATATAGAGAAATGCCTTTTTAGGCCCAAGAAATGTGAATAATGTTTAAAGGGGGTAAAAAAAGGCTCTGAATGTCAATTCTAGCATAGACAGGAGGGAATTTAAATAAACTAGGAGGAATATGTCAGTTACAACAAAGAAACTTAAACTCAATCATACAAGTTTATTCAAGTATTTACTACTGCTAAAAAAAATGAGTAAGATAATTTATTCTATTACTCAAAACTAAAAAATTTAAGAGTTCTTGTTTTGCATTCTTTTCTCAAACGTTCTTAAGCTTGAGCAGGAAATCAAAGTCATGAATGCTCAGTCAAGAAGAATGTTACCTTGTAACTTTTCTAAGCACTCCAAATGAAAAAAAAAATTCATAGTAAATTAATCTAACTGCCCAAAATAACTAGGCAAGCATTTCTAATGAAATTTACAAAGAAAGGCAATTAAGAACTGTTTAGTTTTGAGAGTAAGATCCATGAAATTTGTAGTACTGACAATGCATTGACTTTAAACTTCAGAATAAAAATCTTCTTAAACCCCACTAAGCCACTGTGCAGCATATTAGTAACTTTACGCATATGCCTCAAACAGATGCAGTTAATGCCCATACCTAAAGGGGTTATTGATCGTGGTTGTAGATGAGTCTCCCACTTGTGAACTATGACTTGACATGGACCACCGATAGTCTGCAATTTAAAAGTTAAATGTCTGCAATAATTTCTTATATCTTATTTTCTACCCATGACTCCATTAGATGTTTGTGGCCTACATCTTATACTAATTAGCAATATTATATGCCCCAGATCGAGACTGTACCCAGGTCACAAAACATGATGAAATGCTGGAATAAAATGAGAATGAGGCAGTAAATAAAGAAAAATTAGATGAATTGGCACAAAAACTTTTAAACTCATTTGTAAATCTACCTATTATACTCAATTTTTTCAAAGAAATTTTAATTTTGACCTGATACTATTCCTATTGTGAGTTAATATTAACTCCAAATGTATTTTGTTATGTCAGCAGAGATATTTCTAGATAAAAGTATCTACCTGCTCTATTTGAGAAAGTCTCCAAGTGTTTAGAAAAAGCATGCAATAACAAGTACTTCAAGATCAATTATAAAATTATCAGTTACCTTAGAAACTAAAAGGCATAATAAAGTTCTTTACACATTTAAGATTACTTAGTGGGAAACAAAAACACATCAGATTTCCCATATCCTAGTGACCTGCTTTTCTATAGAGCATAGGAAACCCTAAAAGAAAGGATACATGGGCAGCTAAATTTGAAGAAGTTGATAAAAAAGGCCATTTTCAATCTTACACCTTTGAGTTTTTAAATTCATATCAATTTACAAACAATTCTAATATTGTCTTGTTATTAACTTTCCTTAGGTAAAAATAAAGTTGTATGTGTTGCTGATAAGGTGTACAATTTTAAAAGAATGAACTACCAAAGATTCTGAGTATATCTAAAGTACTGAAGTCTACATTCTTCTGAATTATTAAAGAAATTTGATTGATTACAATTATGTGCCAAAACAAAGACATTGAATATACATTTTAGAAGCAAATTTTCAAATTGAAACCTTACAAAGAATTGTAATTTTTGTATGTTCTCTGAAGAAATATAATACAGAGAAGCAAAAAGAAAATACAAAAACCAATTATTGTACCATTTCAAGATCATCATTATAAACATTTTCATAAATCTTTAAAACATTTTCTGAGTATATATTATATACACTTAAAAAATTGTGGAATACAAAAAATTGTGGAATTCTCTCTGTATATTATAAATCTTTGGATGGCATTAAAGACTTCCATATTACTGGATTTTAGTATTAATTACATTTGGTAAGTATGTCAAATGAAAGTATGTAACAAATTAGGCATATTAAAGAAAACACAATTCTATCCACTTAAAACAACCAGGTTTAAATTCTTTTTTAAAACTTGAAAACTTTCAAAGTTTAAAATCAACAGCATTAAATACTCATTCAAATCAATCCTGAAACCACAAATAAAATGTTATTTTTCTCTAGCTGATACCTACTTGCCACAGGGTTCACCTACGAATTGGTGAACTGAGTAGATTTTTAAAATATGTAATGTCAAATTGCTCAATTTTAAAATATACTTAATATCATTTCAATATATTTAATTTCAATATAACATTTCAACATATTTAATTTTCAGTATATTTAATTCTAGATTTGCTAGATGTTTTTTCACTATATCTCCTTTTCTGACACTTTTTAAAACAGCTTTCTAATCCTCAAAAGATGCAATGTATACAATAAAAATAGATACAATGTTTCTCAGCAATGATAAGTAGCCAGAATAAACTAATCTTCTCCAGCCTCAGGCATTCCCTTTAACCCCCTTCACTCAATCCTCATCTTCACAAAGACAGTATGGATTTATATTCTCATGAAAATTGCTAATCAAAGCAGAATAGAAAGGGGTGCCATGAATATATCAACAGGGATAAAAAAAAGTAGGTGGGAAAAAGGAGAGGGTTTATTTTGTTTTGTTTTAATTCATGTGTCAGGGGAACTTTACAGTGCATGGACTACAGTATCTATCATATAATGATAGTATCCTGGATTAAATATTTGATAGGAAACCTACTTTGTTAGTAATTTTAACATCTCCACTCTCATCTATTTTAGTAACACACTACCTAGACCATAAAATAACATAGACTTGAATAAAGTATTTGATAAGCAGTCCAAAAGGAAGGTATGAGTTATAACTACCTATTAACATTCAAACCTCAAATTCATGTTGGTAAAGGGTTATAATATTGAAAAATATCCAGTTTTAAAATACATTTGAATTTCCAAAACTTTTAGGGCTACAACTTCATTAAATTGTAGAAGGCAATCTTAAACTTTAGCTTTATGACATTCTTTTAAAAAAATTCAAAATCTCAGTAATGACACTAAAATATGCACCACTAACTATAATAATACAGTCTTCAAAATCTTTTATTTTTGGTGGTGCTGGGGTTTGAACTCAGGGCTTCACACTTGCTAGGAAGGCGCTGTACCACTTGAGCCATTCCCCAGCCCCTTTTTAAAATCTTAGAAAAAGGACAGTTCTGTAAAAGGATGTGACAATTTTAAGCTTTGAGAATAAAGTGCATGTCTATCTTTAGAGGAAAAAGTAAAAATATAAATCCAAGAAAATATTACATTAACAATACTGGTAAAGTGATTTCACAATTTAGCATATTTAAAATCAGATAACTGAGGTAGGAGTGTTGCTACATGCCTATAATCTCAGAACTCAGGAAGCTGAGCCAGGAGGATTCAGTCTGAGGCAGCCTGGGTTACAAAGCAAGAATGGTCTCCAAAAAAGAAAAACAGCCACTGGCGGAGTGGCTCAAGTATTACAGTGCTTACCTAGCAAGGGTGAGGCACTGAGTTCAAATCCCCAGTACTGTACCCCACCCAAAAAAAAGAGTAAGAAAGAAAACAAGATGACTACAGAAATGAGAAATGTTTATAAATGTGCTTATTAACAAATAGAATAGGGCTGGTGGAATGGCTCAAGTAGTAGAGCACCTGAATAGCAAGCATGAGGCCCTGAGTTTAAGCCTAAGTACAACCAAAAAAAAAAAATTAGACTATATCAAGCACTGAAAGAAATAAAAGATTAACTTGTAGACAGGGGTTTTATTTTTGTTTCTTTAACAAACCAGCAAGCAACATTACCAGCAAGTCACGTAATGTCACTACTTGCAAACATAACTTTTAAAAATGTTGCTGAGGAGTTTTCTTTCCATGATTTTGGAAACAGCCTGCATGTAAAAGGGGACCGAAGAATTTCTACCTATGATGCCAAACTCAATGTTATTTGAAAATCACTTCTGCTAATATGACCAATAAGAAAAATTATTTGAGACATGATTCAAATAAAAGGAGCAGGGTTGAAAGGCATCTCTGAGAAGTTCAAATCTCAAGTTTACAGCTGAGGCCACTTAGCATCCAGAAGAACCTTAGTATGTTGAGAAATTGTTCTACAAAATAATAACCAAGGCGATTTTGAAAATGAACAATTATCTGCCTCTAAGAGATGATTTATTCTTTTATTAAAGGACTTAAGGTAAAATAAAGGGATATTAAGATCAAAATATAAGTTCATAATAAATGAAAATGTCACAAAAATGAATTTCAAAAGACAATTTAAAAATGGCTAACATTTCACTATAAAAAAGTCACAAGCAAAGGGAGTGGACAGGGACTTTAAAAAAAGCTTAAATTACATGTTAATTAAAAATTATCTTTGGTGAAGATGTGAAGTTCCTGAGCTGTCAACTCCTATCAGCGTTTTCATTCTAGAAATACATACTACCTTTATTCGCTAGGTTTAAATAAGATAACAGTTTACCTTATTACATAAGGTAATATGTAAAATTACCATTACTTGTTTTTTTGGGGGTTTTTTTGGAGACAGGGTCTCACCATGTACCTCAGACTACCCTCAAACTCACTATATCCTCCTGCCTCAGGCACGCATCATCCCACCCCTGCCCTGCCCTGCACTACTACTGGGAATAAAACCCAGGGCCTTGCATATGTTAGGCAAGCAATCTACCCACTGTGCCCCATCCACAGTCCAAAAATTAGTTTTTAAATTCAATATTTTAATTCCCTATTCTAATTTCACAAACTATAAGAACATATAGCTATTACCTAGCAAGACCACGAGGCCCTGAGTTCAATCCCCAGTACCACAAAATAATATTAATAATGAAAATAAGAACATAAATCTGTGAAAAACTGAGAAAAATTATTTCAGGATGCAACTTCTAAACTTAAAATATGCCAGAAAAAAAGCTAAGTATGAAAGAAAAAATAAGAACAGAAAAATTTCATTTGCTTACAATAAAATTTTAGTAACAAAAGGGACCTGAGAAATGTATACTTCCAAAACTTTTTACAGATGAAGAAACTGAAATCTAAAGGTCAAATGACTTGTCCAGAAATAAAGATTTTTAGCTTTGTTTCTACAACTGCCTGGTTAAACTACCTCCTAAAACTTGTGAACTGGAAAATTAATCTCATGTTTCAGCTTTTTAATGCCTTTAATAGTATTTTGCTTTCCTGTCATTATTTATATTCATAAAATATGTACAACATTCGTTTAAATCATGTTATGGTTTAGGATTCCTTGCACATTATTTCTATCAGTTGACAATGCACAATTGAGACAGTTTCATAATACTTCTAATATAAAAAATGTTTCATTTAAAAAGCGCCACCAACTTTTAAAATAAGTGTCACTTTAAGCTGGCATGTGGGAAAAAAAAAACTGTAGCCACATGCATGGATTTTTATGTAGCTATTTACTCTATTCCATGAAAAACATACTTACCGTGGCAGCCCCTGCATCACACGGTACATGTGTACACGATACAGAGCAAGCACCTACTTAAAGAAACACACTCACCAACACATACTGTAAACTTTTGCAAGTATTACAAGGGGGAAAACTTGTTTTTTACTGTTAGGCAGACTTCTTGCCAATTCTTCCAAAAAGCATTTTGGACTGATTTGCTATTCAAATTTTTACATTTTCAATGAAAAACAAAAATACTACAGGTTGGCTTAATGTGACCCGTGTTGACAGTAGTCTTACTTAACTATGCACAAAGGACTCACATTTTCTTTGTTCAAATTTTCATTTCCAAGTAAAACTTAGTTGATTTCACATTTTACAAAACTAAATTTTGTATGCCAGGAGTCTCAAACTTTCAATGTCATGAGTGTTATGACCTATGTATCTACATACAATTCAACTTATATTGAAGAATCTTACCATGATGTGTAACCCTAACGCCAAATAAATAAGATGCTTTTTTTCTTAGGTTGTTTAAGTGAGACTAGTGTCAAGATAAGCCAACACAATAATCAACCATTATGTAATTTAAGCCCAATTACTGAGTGTTTACAAAATATTCTTGGAATAAAAAAAGTAATAGGTGCAAAAGACAGCTGAAGTGGGTTTGTCAGTTTTCCTTTTATACTGGTGGCTAGGGAATGAAGTGGCTGCTTGCGTTTTTCACATGTGACAAAACTATTCCATGACACCCAAGGGAAATATTTCTTTAAAAAAAAAAAAAGGTTTAATTCATATTTTATTTCTTAGACCCCTGCCTAAACCCTTGTTCACATGCAGCCCAAGTGTGTGAAAGTTAAAAAACAGAAGAAAAAGAATCCTTTCAGTAAATAAGTATCTGTAGACTAAAGAAAAGAATCATCTTTTCTCCTTTTCTAAAAGCGAAAACAATCCCAAAAGAATAAATCATTGCAAACAGGCAGATTGAGAATTAATAGACATTCCAAAGGCCTTCAGAAAAGATCCTGGCCAATCCATACCATCTACGGAAAACTCAAAGAAGAATCACTTCATTTTTGTTAAGAGTTAAAACAATGCAAGCCATTAAATTAGTGGCTGCTGAAAATTTAAAAAAACAAAGCAAAACAAAATTACTCACTTAAAGATGGCTATATTCCTCAAAAGGTATTTATGCCACATAGGAAAATAAAACAAAACAAAAACACCCTTTTTAACTAATCACTAGTTTACAAAGTTATAGAAAATGCACACCTATAAAGCACATTATCATTAAAACCAATTTCATGATTTAAAAAAATTGCAGAACATACTTACTATTAGTCTTAAGAAATGGCAGACAATATCTGCCTCTGAAGTTGTTACTTACTTGTTATTTTGGTACTAAAATGTTATTGAGAGTTCTTTTCCTTATTTGACCAAAACATAATCTTTTAAATGTTTTCAAATTTAGACTAGTTGCTTTTGAAAGTGCTAAGCAAATTGGAAACTAGATAAAGAAAACATACCTTTGGTTCCAAAAAGCACCCTTTGAAGTAGCGATACTGAACTGATACTCCTCTACTGAGTGCAATTGTTCCTTTCCACAACATGCTGGCGGGGTGGGGCGGAGTGGAGGGGATGGGTAAAAATCAAAAGCACAGCATTAATATAAAAAATGTACAAAGACTTCATAATTCACAATTTCTCAGATAAGTTCTGTGAACAATATCACTTATTTTTTTTCTACCCATGATTTTACCCTACAATAGGAAGGGGGAACACAATGATATAAATAGTGCACAGCCCCCATCTTCAAGGAGCTCTCTTTCTTGCATGGATAGACAAATAAGCAAACAAGATATACTGCAAGTTTTGAAGGAGGCTCTGGAGTAAAGTGAGGAAGAACCATCAGCTGAGAACTAAATGATAGAAGAAACAAGCTTAGTAACTCCAGAAAATTTCAAGTAGTACAAAGATGGAAGCCCGTGTCAGAACCTTCTTACCTTCTACTCAGCAAGGGCTTTATATGGTTGCTAAAAGGCAGTGAGACCAAGGCCTGTAGGTTACAAGTGGGGATTGAACACTGCAAATTATACTCATAAACCCAACTGTTCTCTGTTCTTTAACTGTTTTGCCTAGGTTTTGACTATTCCCCCAGCCAAGCAATCAGTATCTGTAACTTGTTTCAACTCAATGTTTTCCTCTGAAATATGCTGTTCTAACAGAAACTAAAGTTTTGGCTTAACAGTTGCTTCACAATTAAAGAATTCATTACAATTCATGATTTTAATTGATTTTAAAATGATTTTAATTGATTTTCAGCTTCTAATGCCAAGACAATGATATCTGAAGTGTGGTCCTGGGAGCATCAGTATCAGTTGAGAGCCTGCTAAAAGTGAGAATTCTCAGACCCCACACAGACCCACAGAATTAGAAACTCTAGGGGTAGAGGCTCAGTAGTCTGTATTTTAACAAGCCTCCTCAGTGACTGAGCCACTGTCACAGACCATTATCCAATCATTACTTTAGCATGAGTACTTTGGCAAATAACCAGCAGCTCCAAATATTCTACGATACTGGATGGCTAACACTGCTCCCCACCTGGCTCACCAAAACAGGCATCATCTTCATTCTGATTCAATCTTGGATCCTAACACAGTATTCACAACCAGCTGCCAGCCACAGTCCTGGCTTCACCAATCAGGCAAATCTGGCAATAACATACATATGCACCAGGTCTCCCCTGGGAGATTCTGCTTTCTTGGGTCTCAGGTCATGCAGATCTTGATAAAACTTCACAGGCCATTTAGATACATATGGTTGGTAGCAAATCACTGCTATAAAGCAAGAATAGCAAATGCTTGGCACATGTGTCCTAATTCTCTGATAAGCTCAGAATCCTCTTCTACACAGGACTCCAGGCAAACTCACTCCACTCATCTCTACCACAAAATAATAATTAAAAGAAAAACTTAAACACAAATTTCCCAAACTATCTCATCCACAAAGTCAGCCCTAGTATTTGAAAGTAGCTTCAGATGTACAGAATTAGGAGTTAAGCTTCGAAAACATCCTAAAGTCTCTTTTTATCCACTACTTCTCAATATCCAGAAAGAGAATCTAGACATGCATATTTTTTCAAAGTTCTGATGTGCTTTCTCTGTTTAAGAAAACCCAAAATATCTTAAGATATGCAAAGAGAGCATTAAAATCACAAGTGACCCACATCCTCAGCCTCATTAGTAAACAATACCACAACCTTTGACTTATATCTATAAGTAGAAAAAAAAAAAAAAAGCCCAATAGAGCTCTGGCTGCCACACAGTATGGACAGCTATAAGGAGGCTGAAAAAGACTGAACAAGGCTGGGAACAAGGTCTGGGACAGGTGACTGATGTCTGTAATCATAGCTACTTGAGAGGCTGAGATAGGGAGGACTGCAGTTTGTGGCAAGCCCTAGCTAATAATTTACAAAACACCATTTCACCACCAGAGTGAAATAAATTGGAGGCATGGCTCAAGAGGTACAGCACCTGCTTTGCAAACAGGGAGCCCTGAGTTCAAACCCCAGTCCCACCAAAAAAAAACTGAACAAGAGGGTCATAGAGGTCTCAGAGATAGAATACGATGAAATCCTAAAAAAAAAAAAAAATTCTAAATCACAAGAACATCATCTAAAAGCAGAGATTCTCTTGAAAAGTACTTCCTTTCTCCCTGTGAAGCACTATTCGTCTGCTATATATGCATCAACTCTATTTAAGTGTACATCAGCTGATCTCTTAAAGTTCAGTAGATTAAGTACTGTCTCCTTCTGTTTACATCACTTCATCACTTTTGACCAAGTTGGTGAAAATCAACTTATGACAACTGGGGTGTACTTTAGGAGCAAGTTCAGAAAAACATGAGAAGGGGCAAGGTGTGGTGGCTAGTCCCTCAGTCCACAGCAGTCCCAGCTATCCAGGAGGCTGAGGATCACTTAAGCCCAGGAGTTCAAGATCAGCCTGGGTTAACATAGAGACATAACCCCCTCACTCCCAAAAAAGACATGAGGTTTTACTTCACACAGAAGTGGTTGATCTGGAAACCAAGGTGAAAAATAGCCACTTGAAAGGGATGAAAATTTTGTCCCTGCTAAGTCTAGAAAGAATGTGTGTACACACACATGCAATTTACCAATAGACTCTACTTATAAAAGCAGCTGAGGATTGGCAGTCAGTATGTCCTATTGTCAATGTGTCCCACTACTGACAAATAGGAAAAGGGGTGTTTGTTTTCTTTCCTAAGCTCATATTATTGTACTGGTTCACTTTCCTTTGTTGTTTTCCATGCCACTGCCATTACTGCTCTTCAAACCATTTGCTAAAGAGAACCAGTTTTTGTTTTCTTGGTTGTTTTACCCATGTCTGGTATCCAATAATTCTGGTCTACACACCTAGATCAATGAGATGCGTCCACAGTGACATGTACAAATGCCCCAACGATGTTAAATTCCTATAAAAATCACTAAGTGCTTACTCTCAATTTTCATATTTTTCATTTCATAGATTCATAAAAAGTTTGGTCCACACCATACTTTTAGTGGCAACCACTCACAGGAAAATTAAATTTGAGCCTAAAAAGTCTTAATCACCTAAACTTGTATCTTCTTGGGACGATCAATAGTAACACTTCCACAAGCTGTTAAATGCTACTTTTGTTGACATTTACTGGTTCTACTGAAGCCTAGAGTCATTAGTTCTGCCCAAGATTACAGTTAACTGCGTATTGTTGATCAACACCCAGATCTCCCCTTCCCTAGACCACTGCAACTGGACTAAATTTAGTGCTGTAATTAATGCTATTAATGAATCCATTTCTTTATGTTAACCAATTCTTTATGTTAGTCAAGATGTCCAAGTATATGTTCTACTCTCCGTTCCTCTTAATAACATACACTTCAGGAAAAAAATTTCATAGCTGGAAACAAAAATTAGATCTATTTCAAGAATATGTACTAAGGGCTGTAGTGTATTTCAAATGGTAAGAGTGCTTGCCCAGCAAGCACAGGCCAAGTTCAATCCTATTAACACCAAAAACAAAATAGGAAGAAAAAAAAAAAAGTACTGAGGGCTGGGGACACAGCTCAGTGGTAGAGCACATGTTTAGCATGTTTGAAGCCCTTGGCTCAATCCCCAGAATCACCAAAACAAAACAAAAACCAGGAGATGCTTGTAATCCTAGCTACTCAGGAGGCAGAGATCAGGCAGATCACATTTTGAAGCCAGCAGGGGTTAACCAAGACCCTATCTTGAAAAAAACACAAAAAATGGCTGGTGGAGTGGCTGAAAGTATAAGCCTTGAGTTCAAACCCCAGTATTGCTAGTGGGGGGAGGAGGGGGGATCCACCACTACCACCACCAAATCAAGAAGTCAAAAGATATAACCTAAATTTTGTTTTAAATATGAAAGTGATAAATATGGTATCAAAGGTGAAAAATATGGTATCAAAAGAACCACTCAGGAGTTTTAAGTGGTTGGCCAGCATGGTGGCTTACACCTATAATACATCCAGTTATTCTAGTAGTTTGAGGTCAACCTGGTTAAAAGTTATTGGAACCCCACTCCAACAACTATGGTGGATCTGGTGGTGCATACTATCATGCCAGCTACTTAGAAAGAATAAACAGGAGGACTGCAGACCAGCCCATGCAGGCAAAAGTGCCAGGCCCCATATGAAAAATAACTAAAGTTAAAATGTGGGCTGGTGGAGTGGCTCAAGTGGTAGAGCACTTCAAAAAGTGAACTTTTTGAAGGCCTATCAAAAGTGAGGCCTTGGGTTCAAGTTTTTTGTACTACCAAAAAAGAAAAGAAAAGAGAAAATGCTGGGGGCATGGCTCAAGTGGTAGAGCACCTGCCTAGCAAGTGTGAGACCCTGAGTTCAAACCCCAGTCCCCAAAAAAAAAAAAAAAAAAAAAACCCCAGTCCACTAAATAATTAATAAATAAATAAATACTAAAGAAAAATGACGTAAATGAGTTTACAATGTGAACGTCGCAATGACTCTGTAACCTGATGTTTCCCCGCTCACCTTTCAGCTGTCTCATTCTCTGGAAGAAGAGCTACAGCATTCTGAGGATTCCAGTTTCCCAAGGCATCACAGCTTCCACACACAGCAAAGACCTCTCCTAAAGAAACAGAACAATTAGTCTTTTCCAAGTACGGTAGTTTCAAATTTTAATTTCAGGAGGCAAGAAAAGAGCAGTCAAGCTGGTAGAGTGGCTCAAACGGTAGAGTGCCTGCCCAGCAAGTATGAGGCCCTGAGTTCAAACCCTAGTACATCCAAAACAAAATAAAACTTAAAAAAAAAAAAAAAAGAGTAGTCAATTGCACTGGTTCAACTGACTTTGGAGTCTCCTTTATCCAAGATTGAAGACCCTCACTGGAGATCTGGGTTTGACCAAGAGACCACACTAACATCTGCCTGTTAATTTCACTCACCTCTCTAGAACCAAAGGCAGAGGAAAGAGGGAAGGCCAGGAGTGAACTTTTTCTTCATTTGTTCAATTACCTAATGAGCCAGTAAAAAGTACTTAAGAAACAAACTGACCAAGCCACAGTCCCCTGAAGGCAGCTTCCAATTAAAGATGCAAACACTAAATGCATGTAAATATTCTAACAAAATATTAACCAACATCTTCTGAGAACTAAAGGAGTGGCTGTTGACAAGCTAAAGATTAAGAACATTATCATTGGGATGGCAGCAAGGCAATTTAAAAACCCTTGAAACAAAGACTTATGTAGCAAGAAATCTAGGACTTCTCACTAAAATAATGACTATCACTTCACCTGAACACTTCTCATCAATAATTCTGCGCCCCGGCCCTCATGGTACTGGGGTTGAAACTACAGATCTTATGCTAGGCCACACCCCCAGTTCTTTATTTTTCAGGTAGGGTATGGAATTTTTGCCCAGGCTGGCACAATTCTCCTAATTGTGCCTCCTGCAGAGCTGAGGCCACAGGCACAAGATACCATCTCTGGCTTACTGGTTGAGACAGGGGTCTTGATAACTTTTTGCCAAGGCTGGCCCGGAACAGTGATCCTCCCAGTCTCCACCTCCCTCCACCTCCCTCAAAGCTGAGATTACAGGAGTGAGTCACTGTACCAGGCACCTTTGCTTTCTAAATTTTGTGTTTTTAGCAGAAGTCTACTATTTCTTGGAGATAAGTATGCAGAAGGTCTTCATTTAAAAAAAGTTAACTGAATCCAAATGCAAGTTGGCTCATGACAAATAGGAAAAGGGGACCAGGAACTAGAGAAAAGGTTAGATCAAAAAGAATTAACCTAGAAGGTAACACCCACGCACAGAAATCAATGTGAGTCAATGCCCTGTATAGCTATCCTTATCTCAACCAGCAAAACCCCTTGTTCCTTCCTATTATTGCTTATACTCTCTCTACAACAAAATTAGAGATAAGGGCAAAATAGTTTCTGCTGGGTATTGAGGGGGGGGAGCGGGAGGGGGTGGAGTGGGTGGTAAGGGAGGGGGTGGGGGCAGGGGGGAGAAATGAACCAAGCCTTGTATGCACATATGAATAATAAAACAAAAATTGAAAAAAAAAAAGTTGGCTCATGACAAACTCCTACTACTTACTCTTACAAAAAAAAAAAAAAAGGTATACCTTAAATGGAAAGAATGAAACTTGCACTGGCTATTCCTAGAAATATGGCTTCTGAAAGAAAGGAAACTTTTTCACTAGAACCAACAGACCTTTCTCCTAATTAGCCCTCATTTACTAAAGACTTGAATACTAACTAAAGGGATTTGCAAAGAGCATCTTCCCATACTCTTTTTACTTGTTCCTTCCAACTTCACCCTCTCCCTATACTCCCCACTCCCCACATTCAGCACAGAATACTTCCTTCTACTGCAGTGAAGATACTATTTGAGGGATTTTTCCCCTTGAGTTTGCTATGCTGTAAGCACACTTCTGACAAAGTTAAAAACATGCCACTCTAATAATCCAGATTAAGAAAAAATGTGCACTTATTTTAAGACATTGTTTTAAAGTAAAACTTTACAATACCTGGTAAAGGAGTTCCTCTTATTTCAAAGGTAACCTGAGAAGGTGTCATTCTTCTGATTTTAGGATTCTTGCTAGGAAGAAAAATTAAAAATTGTCATCTTCAGTACATGAAAACAATAACATCACATAGTTATCATCAAGAAACAAGTTAGCCGGGTGCCGGCGGCTCACGCCTGTAATCCTAGCTACTCCGGAGGCAGAGATCAGGAGGATTGCGGTTTGAAGCCAGCCGGGCAAATGGTTCTGTGAGACCCTATCTCAAAAAGACTCTTCACAAAAAAGGGCTGGTGGAGTAGCTCAAGGTGTAGGCCCTGAGTTCAAGCCCCAGTATAGTCAAAAAAGAAAAGAAAAGAAAAAAACTATATATATTCTGCTTCTAGTATTGAATATGTTTTTGAAAACAGTAATATCCTGGTAGTTCATGCTGGGTGTTTTTAAAAAAATAACTTTGATGCAGGAGAGGTTAAAATGAAAATGAATCTCAATTATGAGCAAAAGATTATGTATAAGAATCTTCTACATAAATAACTACATTTTAAAAATTTCTTTTATTCACATGTGCATACAATGTTTGGGTCATTTCTCCCCTCTTCTCCCGTCCCCCCCCCACCCCGCTACCAGGCAGAAACTATTTTGCCCTTATCTCTAATTTTGTTGAAGAGAGAGTATACCCAATAATAGGAATGACCAAGGGTTTCTGCTAGTTGAGATAAGGATAGCTATACAGGGAGTTTACTCACGTTGCTTTCCTGTACATATGTGAAATAACTACATTTTAATTAGAAAGTATATAGCAAGATTTAAGGCTTTCTGTTACAAACTTGTAAGTGTATGAATCAGAAATAATTCAAAACAAAAATGTCAAGTTTTTTTGTTTGTTTGTTTGTTTTGTAAGTCAAGATTCTCTTGCCACAATATATAACTTTCTCTTCTGATAAAAAGCTGTTTTGAATGCAACCTATCTTTCCTGACCAGGCTCATGTTATGATGGAGGTTTGAGAAAAACTATAGTTAGAAAAATGCTTGACTGGTTTAATAACAAGGAAACAATCAAAGAACTTAAGTACCACTCAATGAAGCAAACTAGTTACATTTTGCAACAAGGTTAAGAATCTGCTTTTAATAAATAGTGTAACTAAGTACACACACACAAAAAATCTTCCCCCAGGAATAGGTCAGATTTTTCTCTTGATTGGAGACATCATTACTCAAGTTCTACAGGGTTCAAATTTATTAGAGTCTCAACTATAATCTATTACCAAATCCTACTGATTCTAATTGATCTTGCATCAATGCCACTCATTCCAGTTACCAACTTCATTCAAAACTGTAGATCTCCTACCTGTATTTTGGCTTCTAAATCTCTTCCCAGTAATGCACTTTATGTCAATTAGAATATTTTCCCCCACATCCCTGACTTGCAATCACTCTGATTATTTACAGGTCCTTTACTGCTTTATCCTCTAATTTTTTTTTCTTTTCTTCCAGCCTCCTCAGCCAAACAAATCTGTTTTACCATCCCCTAACTCAAATAACTGAGGGAAGACAAGAAATTGCCTTAAGCATATACATCTAAATATTTATACTCACCTCAAGATAGTTATATCGTTTAAAGAAAGAACTCATACTCTACATAAGTACACATATTCTATATAACTTCTCCAACACCTCCAAAAAGGCTTTTGCACACAAATCCACCAAGACTCCTTAAAAGACTGTCAATAATGTCTTCATTCTGCTCATGTCCATTAATTAGCTAAATTTTATTTGTATTTACAAATTATTTTATAAAACATTCCTAAAGTAATTTTCATAGCTAGTCATTCTCCTATTTCTCCTTTGCTCCCTTCCCCATCCTGAACACATACATAACTCTGCAATGGTCATTTAATAAATACTTGTACCCAGCAGTTAACCACACTGGGTCAAGACAGATAGATCTATATCAGTGGTTCTCACCAAAGGCAATTTTGCCCTCCAGGGGATATTCAGTAATGTCAGGAGGCATTTTTTGTTTGTTACAACTGGGAGAGATGCTCCCAGAATCTAGTGGGTAGTGGCCTGGAGTGCTGCCAAGCACCATACAATGTACTGAATGGTCCTCTGAAAATGTCCAGCTCCAATTACCAATAGGGCTGAGGTTCAGAAACTCAATCTATAATATCTATAGAGAGCTCTAAGTAGGATCAAGAGTTGAAGCTCAGTATTACCTACAAACTATGCATCATCACATTTACATAAATTATAATGCTGAAAATATATACTATAAATGTATAAAATATAATAAGATATATATAAATAAAACAAGACAACCAGTCAGTGTAGTGTTCATGTTGTACTGGGATTAAGAATTTTATGTTTAATATGAAAATGTCACAATGAAACCCTGTACAACTACTTTATACTAATAAAAAGGTTTTTAAAAAAGAATTTTCTATTTGGCAACTGTACCATTTCAGTTAAAACATCCAAGACTCTGCACTGGAGAAAACCTGTCCTGATCAACATAATTTCTAAGGTACTTATTTAAATTTGTATCTAAGAGTAAACATGATCTATTTAACATACATACATCCAGTTCTGGAACTAACAAAGAACATTCCTAAATTAACAATAGTTCTAGATTATTACTCCTCACTAGTGTTATCCGAATGTTAACAATAATCTTTTAAAATGACATTTAATATGAAGCTGAGTACACCACCCCAAGAGTTGAGAATTTTCTGCCAAATAAAATAGTTCATTGAAACACTGCAATCTTACATGTAATATATCTAGGTCATATCAAAATGAGACTGTACGTTGGCTACCAAAAGTTTGGCTTTTAACCTACTGAATTTCAAGAGACAGTCAAAATCCCATCATCAGCCTGCAAAATGGCTGAATAGCCAACCTCAGTCTTAAAACTGTAATTTGTACTTTCACAGTGTTTACTGCCACAATTCTCAACAAAGGAAAATCTCATCTACATAATTACATAGTTGGTAGTCAGCTAATTGTTGATCAATTTTAAATAACTAATTCAACCAATTTAAAGAAAAACAGATGCAATTACTCATATGTACTAAAACCAGCAGCTGGTACAAAACTATCTCTAAATTTCTACTATGTTAAGACAAACAAGAACCATGCAAATTTAAAAGGGAAATCAACTGATTATTAAAATTGAGCTTTTCATCCCTAAAGTTGTTCATGAAGTGGCTACAGTAACTTGGCAGCAAACAGCTGCAGTAAATGTACATACAAAGCTATATACACAAGCACAGTCACTCCCCAAAAGTCAACAAAGCATCATCTTCCACTTGAATTGCCAAAAGTCAAACAATCTAGTTCAATTTCCACCCCTTGAAAATTCAATACTATACCAAGTGACAGCCAGGGAACTACTTCGGTGGCAGTTTACTTGATTATGGACAGAGGCCAAAATTCTGGTGCACTAAAACAGCAGTGACAAAGTAAAAACTGTTCTACTGTGAAACTCAAAATTTATACATCCACCTGTACTTCTTCCTCTTTTAAACAAGCAAAAATCACCCCAACTTGGAGGGAGGAGGTCTTCATCTTCCTTTTTTTTTTTTTTTTTTTTTTGGTTTATTTTGCTTTATTTTTGTCTTGGGAGAGGTCTTCTAGATACACATAGTTGACAAGAGTAAAATGAAAATGCTATAGTCATTGTATGCACATGTACAGAAAATTGAACCAATCCACCTATTACCTCATGTACAGGCTACACCTCAAGACAGGCTTTTGTTCTGTTTTTCAATTTAACATTCACTTTGCACGTTTTAAAAGACAAATACTAAAGAGCACTCGCATCTGAGATGGCTTAGTATTTAACACTATTTTAACATTTTTAAAAGACTCAATTTGCTAAGTGACATTGTAATTTATTTATATCAATTTTTCAGAGTTCCCACTAGCTGACAAAATAAATTTTACTCAATTCTTGTTGTCCAGTAAACTTACCCAGCACCAAGCCCTTAACTGGTTTACAGCTTGGGAACCAAAAAGGAGAAAACCAAAGTTTAGAGCTTAGAGCTGACACTGAAGGTATTTATTTTTAGCTGAAATGTGTGCATTTCTAGCCAAAAAGAACATCAGTTTTCCTTCAAATTTTGCAAGGAAAAAAGCTGTTTCCAGTTCTTCTTGCTCTTTTCTAGACTCCAGCAGCTTACCTCCTTGTCACTAGCTATAATAAAGTAATGTATGAATTGTGAAATGCCCACATTAACTTCTCCTTGAGTTGGTGGAGGATCATCATAACCACATTTCTAACCTCTGTATACTTTAAGCCAGTATTTTAATCAAACATTTGTAGACATTAATGGACTCACTACAAAAGCATTTCTGGAGTAGATTTCATTAAGCAAAGTTCCTTGATCAACTTTCTAAAGAATGCGGTAACATTTTTCCAGATACAAAGATTTGATTCCTCAACCTACTTTTTGCACATATTAAATTGAACTGTCTTTTGTGCTCATTATTTCTGCGTCCAATTTTCAATTTTCCTGTATCTTACTCTGTATATTTAAATTTTGTCCAGAACATTAGTTTTCCTTCCTTCTTGATTTTGGACTAGGCCATGTGCAGTTTTACCTGTTTAATCTGTTTTTTTTTTTTTTTGTATCCGAACACTAAGCATGTATTTTAGTTATGTAGTAACTATCAGGAATGTAGCAAGCAGCAGCAGAAGAGTAAAGTGGGTAGCAGCAGAGAAAAGTGGGTAGCAGTGGGACAGAAACCCGGAGGGCGACAGAAGACTGAAAAAAAACCCCATCTGATCCAAACATCCTGCTCGCCTCAATCAGCTCCTCCGTGTAAGTTAGTACAAACCTCAGACCCCCAGAGCTGCCTCGAGGTGAAAGAATTCTCTACACGGCAAGACAGAATTCAAGCCTGGTCTCCTTTGCAAAGGGGCAGTGACAGGGGAGTGGGCAGATGGGGACTTTCCTCCCCTACAGTCATCAGGGCAGCTGGAGGAGCTCCGGGACGAGCAGAGCTTAGGAGAGAAAGGGAGCAGTAGTTTTGGAACTGGAACAGAATAGGAACACTCGTAGGAAAATAAGCACTGTGGTTCCTTGGCATGAGGCTGAATTGCACAGGCACCCAAGACTTGCACCTATCAATTTTTACTCTGCCACCGTAAGTTCTCTTCTGTGGTCACTATTTCCAGGCAATACAGGAAAATCAGCAGTTGTCAAAACGCTATGAGTTTCCCGCAGCTGTGGTGGGCGCGGGAGTGCGGTGCCAGGCGCCCCTCGGGAGCGGCAATTGCATTTTGTTTCTTTCTTTGTTCCTTCATTTGCTACTCTGTATATTCTGGTGGTCCCATAAACTCCGACCCCAACTATTCTCCAGAAGGGAACGAAGCCCCAGGCAGAATGGTGACAGCGAACAAGGTGGAATAAAGCACCCTGCTCGCCGACTTAACCGAGGCGAACGTCAAGGCCGCCGTGCTTCCCCGCGGCGCCCCGCCAGGGCTGGGGGACCCCGCCCGCCCGTCCATCCGTCCGTCAGTCGTTCCTTCGCTCGGCCCGCGCTCCCGCCCAGCCACGTCCGCCCTGACACTTCGACCCGCCACGTGAGAAGCCGCCGCGGCCCCGCACCGAGCTCCTGGCCCGCCCGCTGCCCGCCACCCGCCTCACCTACCGCTCCGCTAGTCAGCGGGTCCGCACCGCGTCGCCAACGCTCGGCGGCGAGCCCGCGAACGAGAGCAAGAGCTGAGGGCCGAGAAGCCGGGCGGCCGCTTTCCGCGCCTCACCAGCGCTCCTCCAGGCGGCAAGCAGCAGCACCGAGCAGCAGGAAGCCTCCGCTCAAACCGGTTTCAGCTGCTCCAGACCAAACTGCCAGGCCACCCTGTGGGGCGGGGCTGGAGGACGGCGGGGCGGGGCCTGACGTCACGCCCGGCGCCCTCCAGGCCAATCAGCGGTCGCGCGTGTGGTCGGGGGGCGGGGAGGGGCGGGGAGGGGCGGGGCGCCAAGCGTTCCTGCCAAGGGCCAGCAACGGTGGCCGACAGTGGCCGGGCATCCCGGGGTTCCACGTCGCCTTCTTGGTAGCGGATGCGTACGGTGGTTCCCCAAAGTCTTAGGGACTACCAGGTGTGGAGGCAGAAGCTCAATTCCTAATTGCAGCTATTACTCCCTATTTTAAAATAAAGGGGGATTAGCAGGCCTGACGCATTCTGAAAACTTCCTTAGCTTTTTACAAAGCAACAGTCCCTAGGGTTGAACCATTAAACCTGAGAGACACCTAAAGAGGTTGAGAGTTCATACCATTGGAATGCAAAGTACGGCCTACCAGCAGCTGCAGGACTCGCCTAACCCCAGACTTCAACCTATAATCAGATCTGCCTTTAGCAACGTCTCAAGGTTATTGGTAGGCAAACGAATGTTTGAAAGCATTTTCTCTTTTGCCCAGGGATGGCCTGAGACCGCAAACCCTTCCTGCTCCTCGCCTCCCCCAAGACATCCCTTTTAGCTAATGTAAAATTAGGGGTTGGTGGATTGGCTCAGGTGGTAGAGGGCCTGCCTAGCAAGTGAAGCCCAGAGTTCAAACTCCAGTACCGCGCCCCCTTCCAAAAACAGTACTCAAAATTATATTACCATACTCCATATAAATTAAGTGAGATGTTGGAAATTTAAAAGAACAACCTTTGGGGAAGGTGTTAGCCTCCCATAATGAAGGCTCGAATTGCGAATGGGTTTGGCATAGGGGAGCTCTTTTTTTGACAGAGCTTCTAGTATTATAAATCAGATTGTTTGCAGCCACATTTAATATTTGACCTTGGATTAGATCCCAGAGCATTTCTGACAATGCTGTTCATTCAGTTAATAATTATTAAATGCTGCTTTTTGCTAAGCACAGGATGCAATGGTTTTTGTTTTGTTCTGTTCAGTGACTCTTATTTTAATCCCAAATTTCTCAAGAAGTTAAAGTTTTCTCCTAATTATGTACCGTTACCTGTTAAGGTCTGCTGTTGTACATTTCCTAAGAGAGTGGAGTTGATTTCATTCCTTGCTGTTAGTCATATTTCAGTGATGAATTTTTTCCTAAGAGTTTGCTTCCTTTAAATGTTTATAGTAGATCTTTACTTTCCTGTAACCACCATTTTAGTCAAGCTATTATTTGCCCCATGTTTATAACTCAACTTTTTTTTTTTCTTTTGGCAGCACTGGGGTTTGAACTCAGGGCCTCATGCTTTCCAGGCAGGCGCTCTTACCCCTTGAGCCACTTAGCCCCCATGTTTATTATGCAAGATGATAGACCTAACCCATGCTCCTTCCCTAAATCCTCTTTAAATAACAGAATTATGGTTGTCCCTCCATATCCTTGGATTCTGCATATGCAGATTTCAACCAAGCACAGATCAAAAGTAGTCAATCAAATAGGGACCAGGTGTGGGAGTGAACTAAGTAACATAATACCACATATTCAGAAGGCAGAGACCAGAGCTGAACAATGGGGGTATGCTTCAAGTGGTAGAGCACCTGCCTAGCAACCTCTAAGGCCCTGCCTTCAAACCTCAGTACTGCCAAAAAGAAAAAAGTTAGAAAAAAAATTGCATCTGTACTGAATGCAAACTTCTTTTTCTTCTCATCATTCCATAAGTAATATAAGTGTAACCATTATTTACCTAGCATTTACATTGTACCAGGCATTATAAATAAGGAAGGATATGCAAAATACCATGGCATTTTTATAAAGGACTTGATCATTTTTGCTATTCTGGGAGGTCCTGGAACCAATCCTCTTCAGATACTGAGAAATGACTATACACAGCTGAAGGATGCCCTTGGTGAGCCGGAAACAGGATTTTCTAGAAGATAGGAAACAAGCTATTTGATGATTGACAAAAAACTTGGCCTCACCCAGGGGAAAAAGGGATTCCTGGAGATGCCATTTGCCAGTCTTGCTTAGAAACTCTTTGATAACACAACGCATATTTATCTTGTGATTGAAATATTGAAATTGAATTTAGGCAATTCATTTCCACCTCCTGCCACTTGTTTGGACTGTTACAACTTTTCAAACACTTGGTTAATGAGATTAATTTAGGTCTTACCTTGTTATTTCCAGAAAGGCTCCATATGTTTTGAATTTTACAAAATAATTAGCATTCATTATCTTATTTGATTAAATAATAAAGTATGTTTTCTTGTCTGAAATCAGCACCACAAAATTTCACTTTATATATTCATTTTTAAAGATGTATTTATGTATTGATGAAAAAGGCTCTCAGATTGAGGAACCGGATCTGGATATGTGTCCTATTCCTCACTATCTATGACTTTTTTTTGTCGGTACTGGGGTTTGAACTCAGGGCTTCACTCTTGCTAGGTGGACGCTCCACCGCATAAATCACTCTGCCAGCCTTCTGTGACACTTTTCTTTTCTTTCTTTCTTTCTTTTTTTTTTTTTTTTTTGTGGTACTGGGGTTTGAATTCAGTACCTACAACTTGAGCCACTCCACCAGCCCTTTTCTGTGATGGTTTTTTTTCGAGACAAGGTCTCAGGAACTATTTGCCTCAGCTGGCTTTGAACTGTGATCTTCCTGATCTCTATCTCCTGAGTAGCTAGGATTATAGGCATGAGCCACTGGTGCCTGACCTCTGTGACATTTTAAATATAAATCTTTAATAAAAAAATTTACTGTTACTGATGAATTTTGACAGAAAGCTCTGATGAGCCTATTAGATTTCTTTATTTTTCTAGAAAGTACAGTTAAGCTGTTTGTTGCTGCTAATTTATTCCAATTTTACTTTACTGAAATGCTATTTGATTCAATTTTTCATATGCATTTTGTTGCAAAATATTACTTTATGTTGATGGAGTTATTTTTAAAACAAACCACCAACTGCAGCTTCTACCATTGTAAGTTTCCTTCTGTGGCCATTATTTTACTGAGTTTGTTTATGTAAGTTTGTATTTTATCACAAAATACAAAATATTGTTTCAACAATGTTTAGATAATAGCACATATTACCTGGTTGGTTTTAACTATTATCAGCTTTGTTTAACTAGGTGCTAATTCTTCTCCTAGAAGTATTCATTATGACTTAGATAAAACACAGATTACTGATCAGAGTGTAGTCACATAAGTCTATAATTCCAGCACTAGGGAGTTTATGGCCAGCCTGGGCTACATAGCGAGACCTGACCTTGACTCAAAAAAAAACTGATCACAGATGCATATCTCTTGTCAAATCTATGAAAATTCCCTGAGTATTCTCCTTAGATATTTCACAATTGCTCTACCACTCAAGTCACACCCTCAGCCCTATCAGAATCTTTTATCAGACTCAATGCTGTCAGTTTTGTGTTTATGCAACTCCAAGGAGTGGCCGTGCTGCTCCAAGGAGTTTCATGTACTCAGACAAATCCATGCCTTTTACTCTCTGAGGTCATAGTTTCCCCAATTATAGTTGCACTTAATGTTTCTAAGAGATGAGAAAATTTGGCATTTGCTATTGTTTTCTTTTTTCTTTTTTATTTTTATTAACATATATTAATTGTACCAAGGGATTTCATTGCAATACTTCCATGTGTGTATATAATGTACTTTGATCAAATTCATCCCCCGTCACTCTTACTCTCCACCCCCTTTTTCCTTTCATATGAAGATCAATCCAGTGGAGGTAAAACCAAGAAGATTGCTGATTTCTAAAGCAATTTAGGTACCACAAATGCGAGTCTTTAAACCAGTGTCAAATTGACTGCAGCTTTTTTGGTATATTGCCTTGTGAGTTCTCAAATGCATCATACATCAAAATGACTCCAGCAAGAAAGGTTCCAATGGTAAGATCAAAATGTCTTCCTTGGTTCATTTCTTCATCAGTGATGTGGGAATTTAAACCCCACAATGCTTTCAGGTGATGTTTGAGAAGGCACACAGCACCTAGCATGGTGCCTAATTCAGCTGCCTAATGCTGATGTCTCTTTCAGGTTCTCTGAACCTCACTTTGGTGAAGGAACCTGGTGAAGGACCACCAAGTTCATCACATTGAAGATGCTGATTGAGCTGACACAGCTCAGCACTTGTCTATCATGTGTGAGGGCCTGGGTTCCATCCCCAGCATTGGGGGAAAAAAGAAAGAAAAAGTAAATGGGAAATATAAGTGGAATGTATTGTTCAGGTAGTCCTCAAACTTTGTCATATTTGAAGTTCAACTGAATAACTTTGCAATGGCCTTGTGTTTTCAAAGAATATTATTCAATAACCCTAATGAAGCATCTTCACTTTAAATGCTTTTAAAGTTCTTTAAGTTTTATGGTTTTGTTTTGGTTTTTTTTTTTGGTGGGACTGGGGTTTGTACTTCAGGGCCTCATGCTTGCTATGTGGGCACTCTACCACTTGAGCCACTCCACCAGCTCTTTTAGTTGTTGAGCACCACTGGTACCCAACTAGTTCTTTTATTTTATTTATTTGTTTGTTTGTTCCTTTTTTGGTGTCACTGGGGTTTGAACTCAGGGCCTCAGCTTGCTAGGCAGGCACTCTATCACTTGAGTCACTCCGCCAGTCCTTTTTTGTGAAGGTTTTTTTCGAGAGAGGGTCTTGCAAATCCTGAGTAGCTAGGATTACCAGCATGAGCCACTGGTGCCTGGCTAGGATTTTCTTTAA